CCAGTTAATTTTTTCTATTTTTAGTAGAGATGGGGTTTCACTATGTTGGCCAGGCTTGTCTTGAATTCCTGACCTCAAGTGATGCACCCACCTCAGCCTTCCACAGTGCTGGGATTACAGGCATGAACCACCACATCCGGCCTAGCCCTTCACTTTCTACCCTCAGTGATTCCCGAGCGCAAAGAGTATTTGTGTGTTCTTTTGTCCTAAAAAACATAGCCAGTGGCCCTGTGGGGCCCTTCTAAGGATGGTGGTGGGTGGTTGCCCTTAACCATTCGCTGGCAGTTGATTCCAATCAAAAGAGGGAAATCCCATAACTAAAAACTAAACAGGGCCATAGCTCCCTGTCCATTGGGGAACTCTGGGCAGCCTGGACTTCAGGAACTGCTGAACTTTTGGTTGAGTGATCTCCAGCTTCCTACAGGGGGCTACTGGCGCAGTAACTGGCCTTAGCAGCTGTTCCCAGAGGGTCCTTCACGGGCTTTCTTTGTCTTTCAGGACAATCCTGAGAAGACAGCTGCATCAGAACAAGGGGACTTTTACATCACAGGGGACCGAGCTCGCATGGACAAGGATGGCTACTTTTGGTTCATGGGAAGAAATGATGATGTGATCAATTCTTCAAGGTCAAGTTGTCTGCACTTTCCTTCTCCCTTTGAAGTTTCATGGGGGTTGAGGGAAGTCCACTTGGAAGAGTTTGTTTTTCCCTTCCAGCTACCGGATCGGGCCTGTTGAAGTGGAAAGCGCCCTGGCAGAGCATCCTGCTGTCCTGGAGTCGGCCGTGGTCAGCAGCCCAGACCCCATCAGGGGAGAGGTAACCAGTGCACCCAAGAACACAGCCTCCTGCTTCTGTACCTATTAGCACCCAGCAGAACAAGCAGGAAGGCTCAGATTGTCCTGTATCTCACCTCCATCCATGTGCCACAAAGTTGAAATGCCACCATCAGACACACATTGCCTTCATGTCTTTAGAGATACAATTACTCTCTAAAGGGATATAACGGGAAAACACCAACACTTTGCTCTTTAGCAGACACAACTGGGTCCCAAAGAGGCTGGCTATGGGGCAGGAGATCTTAGGGGGAGGTGCAGGCTCTGTTATCCATCCTGTCTAATAAAAAGTCATTTTCTATTTGCAGATGAGGACATAGCGAGCACACCAGCTACAGTTTGCTGATGGCTGTAACCTGAGAGGGATAGAATATGTATCCAAAATGACCCTGATATACCAGAAAGATGGGCCAAATTTAATAAGCTGGGCTTTCATCGGAGAAATCTTTTTTTTTTTTTTTTGAGATGGAGTCTTGCTCTGTTGCCCAGGCTGAAGTTCAGTGGCACAATCTCGGCTCACTGCAACCTCCGCCTCCCAAGTTCAAGCGACCTTCCTGCCTCAGCCCCCCTCCCAGTGGCTGGGATAACAGGCATGTGTCACCACGCCTGGCTAATTTTTGTATTTTTAGTAGAGACAGGGTTTCACTATGTTGGTCAGGCTGGAGTCTTAAACTCCTGACCTCACGTGATCACTGGCTCCGGCCTCCCAAAGTGCTGGGATTACAGGCATGAGTCACTGCGCCCAGTCAGGAGAAATCTTCCTGTGGGTCCCAGAGGAACACATAGTATGTGAAAGATCAGCTTACAGGCAGACTTAGCTACTTTTCACTGGCTTACATCCAACATAATCCTAAAGCACAAGTTACGTTTTGAAAGTTAGTGCAACATCAGCCTGCATTCTCAGAAGCACCAGGACCGCAGGAGAGATTCTCAAAGTCTGGTTCTTGGACTGCTTGCAACTGTATCATCTGAGATTCTTGTTTAAAATACAGATTTGTAGACCTAATGCAGCCCAGAGAATCTGCATTTTAGCCAGCCACGCCTGACCAAGTGATTCTCCACTAAAATCAGAGGCCGTTAATATAGAATAAGGGAGGTGTGGAGTCCCATTGATGTGCTGAAGAAATCACACCTGAAACGTATGACTAGTTCTGTATGCCATGAGTTAACTGGGATTGTGACGAATGGTTGTGTGCTCAAACTTAATCCATGTACAGTGCTTAGAACTGAGTCTGGTGCGCAGAAAGCGCCCAACAAATGGTTAGTAGTTACAGTAGTCAGAGGAAGCTCTTCCTAAAAGCGTATCTGTCTGAACATGAAATGATAGTGGCCTTCCTCCCTGCGAGAAGTAAGCAAGGACAGTGAGCTACCCCTTAATAGAATACTGTTAACAGATAGGAATGCTGGAATTAATAAGCATCCAAGTGACCTTCCATTGCTAACAGAAACTGTGCTCTCTTTGTTGTGCTTGAGTCTGGGACACTTCCTCCTCCCTGGCATACGACAGCCTGCAGGAAAGATGTGGACAGAGAGACCCAAGGTGTAGAATGTCCTTTGGGATGTCTGGAACAGAAGTGGTGCAGTTCAGGGTCTGCTGATTGCAAATGTTCATCCATGCAAACTCCCAAATACCTAGTCCCCCTTGAAATTGACTGCATTTTCCTCAGTCCCACCTGTTCAAACCCATACCTACCTACCTTGTTAGGAAAATCTGGAAGTAAATGGCCATAGGAGTTTATGAACCTCTTTTCTCCAAAATATTTGCTTCTTAAGAGAAGCAATGTTGGCTTCAAATGGTGTCATTCCAAGTATGGGGAGTAATTTGAGAAATAGGTAGGAGTTTGAAATCAACCCACAAAGGTCAATGCTCCTAGTAGTCACACCTGGAAAGGCCAGCAAAAGAAAAATTGATGTTGTTTGTGTCACTGACTGTGCCCAAAAAACTAGTAGAACTTTCATGGTGCAAAGATAAATGTAGGCACTTATTCAAGGGTCACTTAAGGAGAAAAGAGTTGTTATACAAGGTCTGATCTTTTCTGGGTATTTGTTTTGCTGCAGGTGGTAAAGGCATTTATAGTCCTTACTCCAGACTACTCCTCTCATGACCCAGAGGCACTAACGCGGGAACTCCAGGAGCATGTGAAAAGGGTGACTGCACCATACAAATACCCCAGGAAGGTAAACGTCAGGGTTTCCAGGGTACAGTGATCTGGGAATCAGATGGGCACGCTCTGCCTGGGCCCCAACTCAGGGCCAGGCCCTGTGACAGGCTGTGGGGATATGGAGAAACTTGTAACCCTGGCTGCTGCTTCAGTTTTTTCTGTATTTCTTCACTTGGGTTCTCCTCAGAGCACATTTTGTTCTTGCCCTAAGAACAGCCTGATCCCTACCATAAATCAGATACAAGAGGTGGTGCTCAAATGCTGTCAAAAAGATCCTGTGCTCCAGGCTCCAGCTGTTTTGCTCCTGGCAGTTTAGGGGGAAACCCTGAATCAAGGACAGGCAGACAGTAATGGCTCTTTCAAAACAAAAGTCTTTTTGAGGAATGATGATTTCCAAGTGTTTTTTGTTTTGTTTTGTTTTGTGTTTGGTCACTAGGTGGCCTTTGTTTCAGAACTGCCAAAGACTGTTTCTGGAAAGATCCAAAGGAGTAAATTGCGAAGTCAGGAGTGGCAGAAATGAGGTGCAACCCCAGGAAGGCCCCGTAGACCTCCGAAGGCTCCATGAGAAACTAATGGATCACTGGTCAGCCCCCATGGGGAGCATCATCTCTTCAACCCTAAAGATGTCAAAGGCGTGCAGCTTCCAAACGGCATCCCCAGGATCACTGCGCAATGCTGGAAAGAGCAAAAGAATATCATTGGCCCCGACCACATAGATGCTGCTCAGCCTAGCAAATGCTTGGTGGTTTGACTTCTCCCTCTGTCTCGGGGGAGGCTCAGCATCTGCCCACTAGTCTCACTAAGAGCTTCAGATTTCCCTCTGTAGGACAGTTTACCGGAGCCGTGGGGCACTTGTGGGTACTCATTCTCTGCCAGTGGGAATGTAAAGGCTTCATCCTTTGTATGCAACCATTTGGTAAAATATGCAGGACCATAAAATTGGCAATATCCTTTAGCTCAGAAATTCTACCTTCCTAAGTCACCATAAAAGAAAAAACTCAAAATGCAGAAAATGTGTGGTGCACTAAGATGATCATGCAACACTGTTTAAAACTAAAAAAAAAAAAAAAAAAGAAACAACTAACATCCAAACAACAAGGAAATGATTAACAAAATTGTAGTACATTAACTCAATAACATATAATGTGGCCATTAAAATATTTAAGAGCAGTTTAGTATGTCTTGGGAAAAGTGTAAGCTATATTAATTTTAAAAATCAGAATCAAAATATTTGCATACTGGAGAATCCCAACTCTGAAAAATAAAGGGGAAACTAGTTAATTGTAATTTTCGTGATGTTAGAGTGTCAATTTTAGATCTTTCCTGCTTTCTCTTGTGGTCATTTAGTGCTATAAATTTCCCTCTACACACTGCTTTAAATGTGTCCCAGAGATTCTGGTATGTTGTGTCTTTGTTCTTATTGGTTTCAAAGAACATCTTTATTTCTGCCATTATTTCGTTATGTTCCCAGTAATCATTCAGGAGCAGGTTGTTCAGTTTCCACGTAGTTGAGCGGTTTTCATTTTCTTAGTCCTGAGTTCTAGTTTCGTTGCACTGTGGTCTAAGAGACAGTTTGTTATAATTTCTGTTCTTTTACATTTGCTGAGGAGTGCTTTACTTCCAACTATGTGGTCAATTTTGGAATAAGTGCGATGTGGTGCTGAGAAGAATGTATATTCTGTTGATTTGGGGTGGAGGGTTCTGTAGATGTCTATTAGGTCTGCTTGGTGCAGAGTTGAGTTCAATTCCTGGATATCCTTGTTAACTTTCTGTCTTGTTGATCTGTCTAATATTGACAATGGAGTGGTAAAGTCTCCCATTATTATTGTGTGGGAGTCTAAGTCTCTTTGTAAGTCTCTAAGGACTTGCTTTATGAATCTGGGTGCTCCTGTATTGGGTGCATATATATTTAGGATAGTTAGCTCTTCCTGTTGAATTGATCCCTTTACCATTATGTAATGGCCTTCTTTGTCTCTTTTGATCTTTGATGGTTTAAAGTCTGTTTTATCAGAGACTAGGAGTGGAACCCCTGCTTTTTTTGTTTTCCATTTGCTTGGTAGATCTTCCTCCATCCCTTTATTTTGAGCCTATGACACACATGTCTTTACACACATAACCGCATACACATAACAGCTATATATACATCCCACACAGTCACATGCACACACACGAAAACATACATGCACTTAGGCTGTCTCACATACACAGCTACGTACTTCACACAGGCACACACATTATTATAACAACATGTTTTCTTTTCTTTACATCCCTTATTCGTTCTCTCAGCTATTTACTGAGTACTTACTGTGTGCTAGCTACTGTTAAAAGTCCTTGAGCTAAATCATTGAACAAAATGGGGAAACATATCTGCCCTCATGAAGCTTAGATTCTAATGGAAGGAGAGAGAGGCAAAAATAGTAAGTAGATATGTTAGCAGGTAGTGAGTATTAGGGAAAATAGTGCCTAGTAATGAGGAGGAGGAAGAACTAACTTGGAGGTGGGTTGCCAATTTGAGAAGGTGATCAAGGTAAGCTTCATTGAGAAGTTGACAAAAATATTTAGCAAGGAAATAAAGTAGGAGAGAGAGTTATCCATGTAGATATCTATGAAAAATCAGTCTGAGAAGAGAAAACAGCAAGTGCAGATACCCTAAGGCAGAGTGTGCCTTCAAGAAACAGGAAGAAAGACCATGTAGTTGATGTGCAGTGAATAAGGCGGTAAAAGAACAGGACATAAAGCCAGAGATGAAGAGAGCATGTGAAAATCATACCGGACCTTGAATAATGAGGTAAAAACTCTGAATGTAATTTTGCATGAAATTGAGATTCACTGGTGGGTTCTGAGGAGAGGTGTGACATGATCTGACCTCTGACTTATCCTTTATGGTATATAAGATGAACTTAATTATTTTACACGCTATTATCTGTCTCACTTCCGAACAGGAATGAATCTGTCATGCTCATCTCTGTCTATCTGAGAGTAGCACTCAGTCAATATTTGTTGACTAACTGATAAGGACAGATATTTCCGAGAAGAAAGGTGTTCTGAGGTGCTCCAGTTTAGATGTTTACTCCCAATAAACCTCATATTGAAATTTGAGATGGAGCCTAACAGGTGTTTGAGTCATGAAGGAGAATCCCTCATGAATAGATTAATGCCCTCCCTCAGGAGTGAGTGAGTCCTAATCCTATTATTCCCCACAAGAGCTGGTTGTTGAAAAGAGCCTGGCATCTCCCCACTATCTCTCTTGCTTCCTCTCTCACCATGTCATCCATGCCCACGCCAGCTCCCTTTTACCTTCTACCATGAATAGAAGCATCCCGAGACCCTTGCCAGCTGCAGATGCCCAATCTTGAAATTTCCAGCTATCAGAATCATGGGCCTAATAAACATTTCTGAAATAAATTACCCAGCCTCAGATATTTCTTTATAGCAACAAAAAATGGACTACAACAGGAAATTGTTGCCAGGGAGTAGGGTGTTGCTATAAAGATACCTGAAAATGTGAAAGAAGCTTTGGGACTGGGCAATGGAAAGAGGTTAGAAGAGTTTGGAGGGCTCAGAAGAAGACAAAGAATTGAGAGAAAGTTTGAAACTTCTTAGAGAGTGGTTAAACGGTTGTGACCAAAATGCTGTCAACCTAAAATAGTCAAAAGACTCAGCATCTAGTTAAAAGAGCTCATTGAAGCACAAAGTATGAGTGCAGCCATGCAGGGAGCACAGCTACTCCAAAGAATGGTGAGCAGTTCTCCTGGTGTAGGGGAAAATGAGGATTGCTTATACCGGCAAAATGAAGTTGATGAACAAAATTGCAACATTTTCCATAAAAAAAGGCTAACATATAGATATAAGATTTCATTGGCTACTTTTGATGACACTCTAAGGGCATAGTTTAACATTCTATTAAAAGGAGACAGTCCACAACGGTCTCTATCTTCATGTTGTTTAGTTCAGATTTGAATAAAGAAGAGTCTAGTTAATGTATAACATCTCAACACAAAGGTCAGAAAGCAAGCGTCATACACCAGAGTCGGGGGAAGTTGTGTTACCTCAGTCAGCTTTCAGGGCTTAGGTTTTCCCTTTTGCATGATAAATTTGGAAGGTCCTAAATTTAAATTTTTTACAATGCTGATAGAAATATGGACAGTACAGGCCATGCTGAAAAGTCTCAGATAGAAATGAGAAACGTATTGGGCGCTGGGGCAAAATTGACCCATGTTACTCTGTAGCAAAGAACTCGGGTGTACTGTGTCCATGCCCTAAGGCTTTGTGGAAGGCTGAACCAAGAGTGATGACCTACGGTGTCAGGTGCAAGAGATATCTAAGCAGCAAAGTGTTCAAGAAGTGGTGTGGTTACTTTTAATAGCTTATGCTAAATCGTGACAGCAAAGGAATGACCTAAAGACTGTGTTTATAATTAAAGGGGAAGAATAGCATTAAATTTGGAAAATTCTCAGCCTGGACATATGGTAGAGAAGACAAGACAATTTTCAGGAGAGGAATCCAAGGATGTGTCAGAATAACTCTTTGCTAAAGCATGACTAAAAGGGGGCCTGGTGCTAATAGGATAATTAGGAAGAAGGTTCCAAAGGCATTTCAGAAATCTTTGAGGCTGCTCCTCCCATCACAGGCCCAGAGACTAAGAAAGACAGAATGGTATTAATTCTGCAGGCACCCAGAATGTAGGAGCCATAGATGCTTTGTGGTAAGATCCTCTACAAAGAATTCCCACTAGGGAAATCCTCATGAAGCCATGGAAGTGGGGCCACCCCCAAGACACAGAACTGTAGGATCACCAATTTGCAACTCCAGCCTGAGAGAGCTGAAGCATGGGCTGAGACCAGCTTTAAGTCAATGTCGGCCAGGCATGGTGGCTCATGCCCGTAATCTCTGGGAGGCCATGATGGAAGGGTCACTTAAGTTCAGGAGTTCAAGACCAGCCTGGAGAACATAGTGAGACCCCGTCTCTACAAAACATTAAAAAATTATCTGGGCATAATGGCATGTGCCTGTAATCCCAGCTGCTCAGGAGGCTGAGGTGGGATGGTTCCTTGAGCACGATAGACTGAGGTTGCAATAAGCTGTGATCACACTACTGCACTCCAGCCTGGGCAAATAGAGTGAGACCCTATTTCCAAATAAAATAAATATAAAGAGATATAAAGACTTTTTTTCCCTGTTCAGTTTTGGACTTACTTGGACAGTGTTGGGTTGGAACAGGGAAGAGAACATGTCAGACTCTGAGTGTAGCCTGCAGGTGGACCCGATGGCTTTTTCACATCCTTGTGTGAAAGAAAAGAGTCAGGAAAGTCTCTAAGATTTGATGTTGTAAGAGCTGGAGGAATAGGGGTGTCATTTGCTGAGATGGATAAAACCATACCTGGAATGAGAGAGGACAGGGAAGGATATGATCAACCTCTTAGCTTTGGACAAAGTATGTTTGAGATGCCTGTTCAATATCCAGGTGGGGAAGTCAGGCAGGTGAGGATGCAGGAGAGAAAACCAGGCTGGATACACACATGTGTGGGCCATTGGCAAGCCACATGGTATCCAAGCTATGACATTTGATGAGGTAATGTACAGAGTGAGTGTGGATAAAGATGAGGAGGAATCAGCCAAAGAGAAGGAAAAAGCAAGAGGAAAACCAGACAAAATTGGTATGCTGGAACCAAGCAAAGCAAAGAATTAAAAGAGTGTTCATCAAGCCCATGTGAGCTCCATTTCTCTCTCTTTGGTTGAAGCAATAATTTTCTGTCAGTCCTGGGCATAAATCTGCTTCATGCCCCTTGGGTTGAAAGTGCAAGTCCAGTTGGCCTCAAATGCGCTAATTTTGTAATGTCCATAAACTTGGCTAGGAGGACTGCTGTTACTCTTTGAAAGACTCCAAAGTTATCCACTGTCAATGATTAGCTGTGCTGTCTTTCCAAGAGTGCAGGGATTGTGAAGTTGTTTTCTTGAGTTACCGTGCTCTCTTCCAAGGCTGTAGGAATTCTGGAGCTGCTGGCTGGAGAGGAGGGTGGTCCAAGCTGTCCCCAGAAAGACCTCCAGAGAGGACTTGGCAGGTGAGCACTGTTTCAAGGAATGGACTGATGGGGTCATAATCCATGATAATCTCACCAATCTTTTAGAGTCACGGCTGGTGAGAAGAGCAAAAATCCTCACAGAAAAGCAGAAATTCCTAGGGACCATGAAAGACAGTACCTGTCAAGTCTTAGTGAGGAGGAAACACTGGGCAGAGGAAAAGGTACCTTTATCACAGCAACAGGGAGAGACGAGGGCAGCTGGAAAAGGGTGGTAACAGGGCCTGGGAGTGGGGTGGTTGTCAGAGAAGGATGAATCTCAGAGGAGGTGAGGCCAGAAGAATGAGGAAGAGCCTATTATGGAAAAAGAAAGGGACCAGCAGGTACAAAGGCAATGCGTAGTTCTGCTCAGGAGCAGGTACAGAAATCTTCAATTCTTATTCTGTAGGAAAAAAGGAGACAGAAATGTCAGACACTGTGATGGTTAATACTGAGTGTCAATTGATTGAATTGAAGGATACAAAATATTGACCCTGGGTGTGTCTGTGAGGGTGTTGCCAAAAGAGATTAACATTTGAGTCGATGGGCTGGGAAAGGTAGACCCACCCTTAATCTGGGTGGGCACCATCTAATCAGCTGTCAGCATGGCTAGAATATAAGCAGGCAGAAAAATATGAAAAGAGAGACTGGCCTAGCTTCCCAGTCTACATCTTTCTTCTGTGCTGGATGCTTCCTGCCCTTGAACATCAGAATCCAGGTTCTTCAGTTTTGACTCAAACTGGCTCTCCTTGCACCGCATATATATACTTATATATATGAGTTTATTAAGTATATATATTCCATTAGTTCTGTTTCTCTAGAGAACCCTGACTAATACATATTTTGGTACCAGAAGTGGTTCTAGAGGAATAGTATATTAAAGATGGAGTTGTTTTGTTGGTTTTGGGGTTTATGGAGTTGGCTCCTTAATATGATTAGATCCCAAAATACTAAGGACTTTACTTCTAATAGTATGGAGACCACTGATAGTCCTTGATGTGAACTATTTAAAGATTTATACAAAATAAATGCATTTGACACTCCTGATTCATTGCTTATGAGAGGCAAGGAGTTTAGTGACCCTACACGTAATACCTTTGACCATACATGGAGAACCAAGGAACATAATGAAGCTGGTTGGTTGCTCCTAAGTTCAGTGGATAAAGTGATGAAAGAAAATGATGAACTCAGGGATTCTATCTCCCAGCTTCAGAAGCAGATATTGAGCCTCAAATCTGCCAAGATTGCCCTGAGTGAGAGTCTAATCTCCTGTAGAGAAAGAGCTGAAATTGTGGAAAAACAGACATAAGCTCTTATCATGTGAGTGGCTGACCTGCAATGAAAGATGCAGGCCCAGCCTCACCAAGTGTCTACTGTTAAAGTGAGGGCATTGATTGTGTTGCAGGAAGTCAGGGACCCCGAACAGAGGGACTGGCTGGAGCTGAGGCAGAACATAAATTGTGAAGATTTCATGGACATTTATCAGTTCCCAAAATTAATACTTTTATAATTTCTTACGCCTGTTTTTACTGCAATCTCTGAACATAAATTGTAAGATTTCATGAACATTTATCACTTCCCCAATTAACAGTCTTATAATTCCTTATGCCTGTCTTTACTTTAATGTCTTAATCCTGTTATCTTCATAAGCTGAGAATGTATATCACCTCAGGACCACTATTGTACAAATGGATTGTAAAACGTGTGTTTGAACAATATGAAATCAGTGCATCCTGAAAAAGAACAGAATATCAGTGATTTTCAGCGAACCAGGGAAGATAATTATAACGTCTGACTGCCTGCAGGGTCAGGCAGAATAGAGCCATATTTTTCTTCTTGCAGAAAGCCTATAGACAGATGTGCAAGTAGGAGAAATATCACTCAATTCTTTTCCCAGCAAGGAACAACCCTGGGGAAGGAATGCATTCATGGGGGTAGGTCTATAGACGGCCACTCTGGGAGTGTCTATCTTATGTGGTTGAGATAAGGACTGAAATGTGTCCTGGTCTCCTGCAGTACCCTCAGGCTTACTAGGATTGGGAAGTTCCAGCCTGGTAAATTCTAGTCAGACCGGTTGTCTGCTCTCGAACCCTGTTTCCTGTTAAGATGTTTATCAAGACAATGTGTGCACAGTGGGACATAGACCCTCATCAGTAATTCTAATTTTGCATTTGCCTTGTGACCTTTATCGCCCTTTGAAGCACATGATCCTTGTGACCTACTCCCTGTTCGTACACCCTCTCCCCTTTTAAAATCCCTAATAAAAACTTGCTGGTTTTATGGCTTGAGGTTGCCATCATGGTCCTACCAATATGTGATGACACCCCCGGAGGCCCAGCTGTAAAATTTCTCTCTTTGTACTCTTTCTCTTTATTTCTCAGACCATCTGACACTTAGGGAAAATAGAAAGAACCTATGTTGAAATATTGGGGGCTGTTTCCCCTGATAAATTGGAAAAGAATAAGACCCTGCAATTTGGAATGGGAATGTGTGGGAGGACCCTGGTGAAGCTGGGGACACTGAGTTTGTAAACTCTGGTGAACTTTTTTTGCCAGAAGAAACAGCTTCCCACCCACCCAGTAATGGCAGCATTCCCTCCCTAACCCATGCTGCCATCAGCCTTTCCACCTTTGTCTGAGGGGATAAATTCTGCACTGCCTGAGGCAACAGTGATGGCCTCCCCTGAGGTGGTTGCCAAGCAAGACAATGTTGATTCTCCTCAGGAGCCCCCCTAACACTCCTGTTTGCTCCTAGACTTATAACTAAAGTCCCTGTGGGCCCCTAGAGGTGAGGTTGAGAGTGTGACACATCAGGAGGTTCACTACACTAGATAATAACTGCTTGAGTTTTTAATTTATATAAACGAAATCTGGAGAACAGACATGGGAATGGATATTAAGGGTGTGAGATAATAGTGGAAGGAACATAGAGTTGAATCAGTCTGAATTTATGGATTTGGGCCCATTAAGTAGGGATTCTTCATTTAATGTTGCAGCTTGGGGAGTTAGAAAATGTTATAATAATTTATTTGCTTGGTTAACTGAAATATGGATTAATAGATGGCCCACCATGAGTGAGCTAGAAATGCCTGATCTCCCCTGGTTTAATGTAGAGGAAGGGATCCAAAGACTTAGGGAGATTTGGATGGTGGAGTGGATTAGTCACTTTAGACCTACTCTTCCCAGCTGGAAGCATCCAGAAGATGTACCCTTGACCAATGCCTTACAAAATACATTTGTGAGGGCAACACCTGCCTCTTTGAAGGACCCTGTAATTGTTCTTCTCTGTATGTCAGATCTAACAGTGGGAACTGCAGTCATTCAACTACAAAATTTAAATACAATGGGAATAATTGGATCCTGAGGTGGCAGGAGCCAAGTGGCAGCACCCACCCATCAAAGGCAAGGTGGACATCGCTACTGTAATGGACAGCAGAGGCAAAGCGGCAATCAGCGTAGTCTGACTCATGTAGAGCTCTGGCGTTGGCTAATTAATCACAGTGTTCCCAGAAATGAAATTGATAGGAAGCCTAATTTATGCAAGCAGAAAACTTCTAGGTCAAATGGACAAAAGACTAATTAATTTGAATTATAAAAACAGAATCATGACTCCTCAATCATTTTCCAGACTTGAGCCAGTTTACAGACCCAGAACCCCTTGAATAAAGGGGAGGCCAGGTCCCCTTGAGGAAGGACCCCACTACATTACCAACAATTTATGCAGTGAATCTTTATCCCATCCTTCCCCAAGGAGACCTCTGGCCTTTTACTAGGGTAACTATGCATTGGAGAAAGGGAAATTATGAGACATTTAAGGGACTACTGGACAGTGGCTCTGAGTTGGTGTTGATTCCAGGGGACCCAAAACGTCATTGTGGTACTCCAGTTAAAGTAGGGGCTTAGGGAGGTCAGGTGATTCATGGAGTTTTAGCTCAGGTCCAACTTAAAGTGTGTCTAGTGGGTCCCTGGACTCATCCTCTGGTCATATACAAAACACTGCTGAAAGAAATCATAGATGACACAAACATGTGGAAACACATCCTATGCTCATGGATGGGTAGAATAAATATTGTAAAAATGACTATATTGCCAAAAGCAATATACAAAATCAGTGCAATTCCCATTAAAATACCACCATCATTCTTCACAGAACTAGAAAAAATAATCCTAAAATTTATATGGAACCAAAAAAAGAGTCCTCATAGCCAAAGCAAGACTATCCAAATAGAACAAATCTGGAGACATCACATTACCTGATTTCAAAATTTACTATGAGGCCATAGTCACCAAAACAGTATGGTCCTGGTATAAAAATAGGCACATAGAACCATGGAATGGAAGGAACGGAATAGAGAACCCAGAAATAAACCCAAATACTTACAGTCAACTGATCTTTGACAAAGCAAACAAAACCATACAGTGGGGAAAGGATACCCCATTCAACCAATGGTTCTGGGATAATTGGCAAGCCACATGTAGAAAAATGAAACTGGATCTTTATATGTCACTTTATAGAAAAACCAATTCAAGATGGAGCAAGGACTTAAATCTAAGACCTGAAAGTATAAAAATTCTAGAAGATAACATCAGAAAAATCCTTCTAGATATTCGTTTAGGCAAAGATTTTATGACCAAGAAGCCAAAAGCAAATGCAACAAAAACAAAGATAAATAGATGGGACTTAATTAAACTAAAGAGCTTTTGCATGGCAAAAGGAATAGTCAGCAGAGTAAACAGACAACTCACAGAGTGAGAGAAAATCTTCACAATCTATACATCCAACAAAGCACTAATATTCAGAATCTAGAAGTAACTCAAACAAGAAAAAAAAAATCCCATAAAATGTGGGCTAAGGACATGAATAGACAATTCTCAAAAGAAGATCCAACATACATATGAAAAAATGCTCAACGTCACTAATGATCAGGGAAATGCAAACCAAAACCACAATGCAATACCACGTTACTCTTGCAGAAATGGCCGTAATAAAAAAATAAAAAAATTATGGATGTTGGTGTGGATGTGGTGAAAAGGGAACACTTCTACACTGCTGGTGGGAATGTAAGCTAGTACAACCACTATGGAAAACAGTGTGGAAATTTGTCAAAGAACTAAAAGTAGAACTACCATTTGATCCAGCAATCCCACTACTGGGTATCTACCAAGAGAAAAATAAGTCATTATATGAAAGAAGTCACTGCACATGCACATTTATAGTAGCACAATTCACAATTACAGGAATATGGAACCAGCCCAAATGCCTGTCAATCAACAAGTAAAGAAACTTGTGTGTATATATATAATATATAATATTTATATATTTTTATAAATTTTTTAATATTTCTATATAAATATATAACATATTTTTATATATAGTAGTATAGTGTATATATAATTATATGATATATGATATATATGAAATATATCATATATACATTTTATAATTATATAATATATAATATAATATATAATACTATGCATATATTTTATATATCTATATATACTATATATTACATAGTGTGGCTATATATAGTATATATAAAACATAAAATATATAAAATATATTTATATATTTTTATATATATTTATATTGTATATAATATATATTTTGCCACACTCCTGTGCCTTTCTTCCTTCCAAACTCATGAACATATAACATATATATTTTATATATATATATATAAAAATATATATATATAAAATCTTCCATGAAGGCAGTATGGTATGGGAGAGAGACACCATGAGCTTGGAAGGAAGAAAGACACAGGAGTGTGGCAATACATATTATGTAAAATATAAATATATATAAAATATGTAAATATAAGTATATATAAAATATAAGTATATATAAAATATTTTAAAATATATAAAATATATAAAAACATATATTTTTATAACATTTTATATATAAAAATATAAATTTTTATATATTTTTATATATTTTATATATATACTATATATGGCCACACTATATAATAGTATACTATGTACCTCTCTATATAATATTGTATATATTATATAATAGTATAGTGTTATATATCTATACATAACATACTATTATATATTATATCTTATTATATATCATATATTATATATCTATATATACACTATACTATTTTATATATAAATTCACTCTAATAACTAGAACAAGACATGAATGCTCACTCTCACCACTTATAGATATATAATAGTATAGTATATATAGATATAGATATAATATATAGTATATATTATATTACATATAACATATTTATAATATAACATGGATATATTATATATTATTATATTATGTTTGTATTACATTATATTTTATATAATATATTATATATAACATATATAATATCCATATATTATATATAATATATCTATATATTATATATAACATAGTATGCATATTATATATATATCTGTATTGTCACACTCCTGTGCCTTTCTTCATTCCAAGCTTATGGATTTTTTTAATATATATATATAAAAAATATATATCATCTTCCATGAAGGCAGCATGGTATGGGAGAGAGACAGCATGAGCTTAGAAGGAAGAAAGGCACAGGCATGTGGCAATATATATAATATCCATATGATATATATTATATAAAATGTAAATATATATAAAATAGAATTTTTCATATTTCACATATACTATATATAATGCATACATAGTATATATAATATATAGTATCATATATAGTGTATATATATACAATGAAATACTACTCAGCCATAAAAAGGAATGACTTAATGGCATTTGCAGCAATCTGGATGGGATTGGAGACCATTGTTCAAAATGAAGTAATTCAGGAATGGAAAACTAAACATCATATGTCCTCACCCATAAGTGGGAGCTAAGCTATAGATTGCAAAGGCATGAGAATGATACAATGAACTTTGGTGACTTGGGGGAAATGATGGGAAGGAGGTAAGGGATAAAAGGGTACAAAGTGGGTTAAATGTATACTGTTAAGTGTCTACTGTAAGTGTTAAGTGTATGCTCCTCAGGTGATGGGTGCACAAAAATGTCCCAAGTCACCAATAAAGAATTTATGTAGAAACAAAAATCATGACAGCTATAATTTCCAAAGTGATTGTATTAGGTCCTGCACACTAGATGCATAGGATCTGGGATTTAGGATGTATCAGTCCAGATTCAATTTAAAGAAAAGAATGCTACTTGTATTAGATAGCATTTGCTACAGTAACAAACACCCTATACATCTTAGTAGCTTTTGGTCATACATATTTTCCCCCATGGGTCTGTGTATTGCTAGTGGCCATTCTAGGCTCAGCTCAACTCCACATTTCTTGTTGTTCTGAGTCCCAGTCTGAAAGTACAGCATGAGCTGGGTTATGCAAGTCTCAGGCAGAGGGGAGAAATGTGAGAGTTTCTGATGAACCATATAATCCCAGACACTCACATCTCATTGACCAAAGCATATTTCATGAGCAAGCCAAAGTCAATGAGAGGTGGATACATATTCTTCCTCCTGAATGCACTGGGAAGTCACATAAAAATGAATGGGGATTTATAATCCTAGAATAGGAAGGGAGTGAATTTCTGGGAACAACAATCCAATCTACGACCCACTGTATTTTAGCACAAGGGGATTTATTATATGAAATTGGGTGTTCACAAAACTGTCAGAAGTGTTGAAGACATAGGATCTAAGATTGGGTCTGTATCATCTTGTGCCTTTAGAAAACAGCACCCCACAAGGAGACTGAAACAGATGCTGAGTGCCAGTTTACTCATAACCACAACAAATTAATTCCTGGAAAGAATCCTATAAGGTTGGGATGAATCTCCTGAAGCTGCTGATGATCAGTAGAGCAATCTGTTAAAGAAGCTCTCACCTGTGTCTCTTCTTTCTTTTACAGGTCTGAACATGCATTGGCTGCGAAAAGTTCAGGGACTTTGCACCCTGTGGGGTACTCAGATGTCCAGCCGCACTCTCTACATTAATACTAGGCAACTGGTGTCCGTGCAGTGGGGCCACCAGGAAGTGCCGGCCAAGTTTAACTTTGCTAGTGATGTGTTGGATCACTGGGCTGACATGGAGAAGGTAATGGGGTGGAAAAGAGGCACAAAGTGAGACAATTCGGTTGACTTTTAAAATTCATCCATTAATTCAGTAAATATTTGTTAAGTACTTATTACATGTAAGGCACTGTAATATGCTATGGACAAAACACTCATCTTCCATGAAGGCAGTATAGTATGGGAGAGAGACTGCATGAGCTTGGAAGGAAGAAAGGTATAGGAGCGTGGCAACCTGGTAACTCCCCGACAGCCAACACACAGTTTGTTTACACTGTATGTAGACTGCACATGCTCTGTTGTGACCTCCCAGGGTGAAATGAGGACTAGTGGTCTGGGGTCGTAGAAGAGGTAGGTTTGAATCTAATAACAGCAAATCAAGCTTGGGCAACACAGGAAGACTCTGTCTCTACCAAAAATTTTAAAACAAAATTAGCCAGGCATGGTGGTGAATACCTGCAGTCCTAGCTACTCAGGAGGTTGAGGTGGGAAGATTGCTTGAGCCCAGGAGTTGGAGGCTGCAGTGAACTGTGATCACACCACCACACTCCACAGAGTGAGATCCTGTCTCTCAAAAAAGTGGGGGGCAAATCAGCACTGATCAAAGAGTGAGTCTTCCCAGAAAGTTAGGTCACGTGTCCCTGTCAATACAGGTGTGCAAGTAAGATAGTTATGAGGCAACAATTATCAAAAGGGCTTCAATATGAGACATCCAAGAAATAAAAAGTTGAAGAAATTTCTGATTTTCCTTCCCAGCCCTGAGCTTCTAGAATTTTAATCCATTCACTGCTGATCCATCAATTGCCTTCACCTGAAGTCCTGTGACTCTTTCTGTTGGATAGAAGGATTCATTCTGGCTAGGGGTAGGGGAAGGGGTGGAGATACCAGCATGGGCTTAATACATTGGTGCTCAAAAAGAGTCATGATTATGACGTGATGTCCTAAGTTCCCAACACTATGAAACGGTCTTAGTGTGGAGATTGCAAATGCCTTGCCTCTAGACTGAAGACGGCCCTAGGTGTGAGTACTCTTAAAAAAAAAAAAAACATAAGGTTAACATTTTAAAATTGAAAATTTTCAAACAAAAATTTAGATTTCTGGATTTTTTTAAAGTTATACTTCCTTTAAATATAAGGAAGGCCCTTTAAATATTGAGGAAGGCCCTTACTACCATGACTCACCATTCTGAATCCGTAAAAGTAAACTTGCTATATAAACATAAAAAAATTTATCCATTCACAGATAACACCATTAGCAAAATAAATGACTAATGACAACTGTGGGGAAACTATTCAATTCATATGACAGCAAAAAGTTAATAATATGAAATGAGCTTATAGAAACCAAGAATAAAAGGGTGCAACTCATTATAAAACTGGGCAAAGTATATGAACAGATAGTTCACAAAAAAGTGAACTCAAATGGCCATTAAACATAAAAAAATTATCACCCTCCCTCATAATAAGAGTAAAGCAACTGAAAATTTTACTGAAATAACATTTTTGCACCTATCTTGTTAGTGAAATACAAAAGATTTTTTTTTCTTTCAGAAAAATAGTTTAATTATCACAAGGCCTCTTAGTAGAAGGATGGGAGATATTTCTCAAATCTGCCCCCTTGAGAGCTCAGAGACTAGGGTTATCAAAAGACAATTTGGTGGGCAGGGGCTAAGGAATGGGTGCTACTGATTGGTTGGGAATGAAATTATAGAGATGTGAGAAATGTCTTCAAGTGCTGAGTCTGTTTCTGGGTAAGGCAGTCACAGGACAGGTAAAGTCAGTTCCTTTCTATAGAGTCATGAGTCTAGGTAGTGTCACTACATTTTCCAGAATGCAAATGTCTGAAAAATATCTCAAAGGCCAGTCTTAGATTTTACAATAGTGATGTTATCTACAGGAGCCATTGGTGAAGTTACAAAGTGTGGCTTCTGGTTACATGACTCCTAAGCAGTAAGCAAGCTAGGGAACAACAGCTGGTTACTGCTTAACTATGCTTATAGCTTAGCAGAATTGAGGTCCCTATCATCTGCCATAATTCTAATGCCATGGAATTGCATTAATTTCACAAAGGGGTTTAGGTCCCTGAACAAGAAGGGAGTTGGTTTCAGGAAGAGACTATTGTCATCGTTGCTTTAAAGTTAAATTATAAACTAAATTCCTCCCATAGTTAGTTTGATCTATGCCCAGGAATGAGCAAGAACAAAATACAAAGGTTTAACAACTCTATTGGCAAGGCTGTGAAGAAACAGACACTCTCATGTGTTACCACAAGGTGGTATAACTCTGATGGAGCCAAATTTTGAAATATCTAATAAAATTGCCAACATGTTTTCTCTTTGATTTTGCATCATTACTCTCAAACTATGATCTGAGAACCCCTGAGGATCCATGAGACTCTTTTAGGGGATATGCGAAGAGTCTATTTTACAATAAAACAGAGAAAATAGAACCCTTGTGCATCATGATGGGTATGTAAAATGTTACAGCTATTATGGAAAGCAATATGACATTTTCCCAAAAAATTAAAAAATAGGATTACCATTCAGCAATTCCAACTCTGGGCATACACCAAAAAAATGTAAAATCAGGGTCTCCGAGAAATATGTGTACACTCATGTTCACAGTAGCTTTATTCACAGTAGTTGGAAGGTTAAACAGCTTATTATTTATTTATCACAGCTTATTTATTAATAAGTTAATAAACTTATTAACAAATAGACAAAAAATCTCTTTAAAATATATTATTGTATTTTTCAATGTGAGAAGGACACGAGAATTGGAAGGGCAGGAGCAAAGTGATATAGTTTGGATATTTGTTTTCTCCAAATCTCATGTTGAAATGTAATCCACAGAGTTGGAGGTAGGGCCTGGTGGAAGATATATGGATCATAGGGGCAGGTCTAGCACCAATGACTTAGCACCATCCCCTTGGCTATGCATGAGTTCATGAGAGATCTTGTTGTTTAAACAAACGTGGTACTTCCCTATGCTCTCTCTCTCTTGCTCCTGATCTTGCTGTGTGATGCACCTGCTCCCCGTTCACCTTGTTCCATGATTGTAATCTTCCTGAGGCCCTCACCAGAAGCAGATGTCAGCACCATGCTTCCTGTACACCCTGCATAACTGTGAGCCAATTAAACTTTTTTCTTTATAAATTACCCAGTGTCAGATATTCCTTTATAGCAATGCAAGAACAGCCTAATACAGTACCTTATATAAATGAAATCATACAGTATTTGTTCTTTTGTATCTGACTTATTTCCCTTAGCATGTCTTCAAGGTTTATCCATGTTGTAACATAAGTCAGAATTTCCTTCATTTTTAAGGCTGAAATAATATTCCATTGTTACGTATATTCAAAATTATTTATCTATTCATCAAACATTCGGGTCAAATCTTGAATGCTTTGTTGCTTAAAAATCTCTTCTGTCAGATTTCCTAAGTCATTACTCTTAAAGTTATAACTTCCACAGATCACTAGGCTATGAATACAATGCAGACAAGTTCTTTGCTAAAGTATAGGAAGGGGGACCTTTGCTTCAGTTCCCTAAAAGTTTCTTATTTCCATCTGAAATCCGGTCAGCCTGGATTTCACTGTCCATAATTCTATCAGCATTTTGGTCACAACTATTTAACTGGTGTCTAAGATGTTCCAAACTTTTCCTCATCTTTCTGTCTTCTTCTAAGCCCTCCAAACTCTTCAATTTCTTCCCATGACCAGTTCCAGAGTTATTTCTACATCATCAGGTATCTTTATAGCAATACCCCACTTCTGGTACCAGTTTTCTGTATCAGGCTGTTCTTGTGTTGTTGTAAAGGACTACCTGAGACTAGGTAATTTATAAAGAAAAGAAGTTTAATTGGCCCAAAGTTCTGCACGGTGTACAGGAAGCATGGTGCTGGCATCTGCTTCTGATGAGGGCCTCAAGAAATTTACAATCATAGTGGAAGATGAAGAAAGAGCAGGCACAACAAAGGGCAAGATCAGGAGCAAGACAGAGCGTGAGAAGGTGCCACTCACTTTTAAACAACCAGGTCTTATGTAAACTCATTTATCACCAAGGGGATGGTGCTAAGCCATTCATGAGGGACCTGTCCCCATGATCCAATCACCTCCCACCAAGCCCCACCTCTGACATTGGGGATTGCATTTCAACATGAGACTTGGAGAGGACAAATATTCAAACAATATCATGTATGTAGAATAGTCAGATTCATAGAGACGGAAAGTAGAATGGTGTTTATCAGGGCCTAAGGGGAGAGAGGATGAGGGGTGATTGTGTAATGGGGACAGAGTTTTCACTTTGGATGATGAAAAAGTTCTGGAGATGGATGGTGGTGATTGCTGCATAACAATGAGAATGTACTTAATGCCACTGAACCATACACTTAAAAATAGTTAAAATTGGAAATGTTATGTTATATGTATTTTTACCACAAAATTTTTAAAAATAAGTAAATAGAGATATAAATAAACCTAAAGCGATGTTTGCCTTTTTATTCTAATTATTTCATGAGTATTCAATAGCATTTTCCAGAAGGTACATGTTGGTACTCACAACAGAGTGAATGCAGAAGCAGATGAGAGGATCCAATGTTATTCTCCTAAAACATTAAAGGAAATTGCAGAATAAATAGATGCAATAAATAAATAAAATAATGCCACTTTCCTCATTATTTTTTCATTTTGAAAAGTATACCTTATCATTATAAAAAGTTATGCATGCCAACATATAATGGGTTTATTACTATTATTTCTGAAAGCATGCATTTATAAAACTTCTGTTTTAATATCTACTATGGTAGATATTGATAGATATAACTCACATACATAACAACTCTTTAGGGTTTTCAATACTTTTTAAGACTGTATGGAGGTGCTGAGATAAAAAAGCTTACTAAGCACCAACTTGGCAATCCCAAGACTTGGAATTTATCCTACCTACTTGTGTACCAGTGCCCCCTAATCAACAGGGCTTCTCTTTCTTCAGGCTGGCAAGCGACCCCCGAGCCCAGCCCTGTGGTGGGTGAATGGGAAGGGGAAGGAATTGATATGGAATTTCAGAGAATTGAATGAAATCAGCCAACAGGCAGCCAACGTCCTCTCGGAAGCCTGTGGCTTGCAGCGTGGGGACCGTGTGGCAGTGGTGCTGCCCCGAGTGCCTGAGTGGTGGCTGGTGATCTTGGGCTGCATTCGAGCAGGTTGGTAACTGACTACCTTGACAGAGAACTGTCTTCCTTGTGAAGAAAACTGATAGCAGAGAAATGCAGTCACCTCTTCCAAAAGAAGTCCCCTCCTTGGAGCATGCTGTCCTCTCTCATATGAAGAAAGGCATCTCCCTTCTTCCATTTATTTAAGCAAACTATGTGCCAAGCACTTATGCAGAGTGAACAACTACAACGACATAATTTACATATTCATTACAGACCTTTGGAGAAAGCTCTTGAACTATTAATTGCACATATAAGTATTTAATCAGAATTATGATAAGTGGCATGAGAATTCTATTAAAATCTATTAAAACAAATTTGGCAGACTGTGACCTGCAGGCCAAATCCTGCCCACAGCTTGTTTTTGTAAATGAAGTTTTATTGTAACACAGCTATGCCCACTTGTTTCCATATTAAATGTGGCTGCATTTGCACTATAGTGGCAACTTGAGTAGTTGGAACAAGAGAGTGTCTGATCCATAAAACCTAAAATATTTACTATTTGGCCCTTTGCAGAAAAAGTTTGCCAATGCTGGTCTAAAAGAAGACTTGAATTAACCAATATGAGGAGTAACAAAGTCTCCATGGAAGTGATATTTGAGCTGAGATCTGCAGGATGAGTAGGTTTTTGCCAAGAGATAGAGAGGGTTGTGCCAAGCAAAGGGAACAGCATATGTGAAGATGTAATCATCTGATGATTTCTGCCCAGAAAAGCCAAACACTGAAAACAGTAGGAGTTGCAGTAGAGAAGAGTTTAATAATTGCATAGACAGCCAAGTTGAAGGATGGAGGATGTTTCTCAAATCCACCTCCCCAGGAAATCAGAGACCAGAGTTTTTCAGGGATGCTTTGGCATGCAGGAGGCTAGGGAATAGGAAATGCTGATAGGTTTGGCTGGGGATGAAAACATGGGTTCGAGCTGTCTTCTTGTACTGAGTCAACTCCTCAGAGATCACAGAACTGGTTGAGTTAGTTTCTTGGTATCAGTTACTGGTCTGGGTAGTGCAAGCTGGTCCATCAGAATGCAAGGTCTGAAGAACACCTCAAACATCAGTCTTAGGTTTTACCATAGTGATGTAATCTACAGGAGAAATTGGGGAGGTTACAAATCTTGTGACCTCTGGCTCCATGACTCCTGAACTATAATTCTAGCCTTGTGACCAATTTGTTATTTTTCCAAAGGCAGTTTCAGTCTCCAAGCATGGAGGTAGTTAGTTTCAGGAAGGAGCTATTATCATTTTTATTTTAAAGTTAGACTATAAGCTGGATTCCTCCCATAGTTAGCTTGGACTATGTCCAGGAATGAGCAAAGACAGATAGCTTGTGAGGTTGGAAACAAGATGAAGTCAGCTATGTCAGATTTCCCTCAGTGTCATAATTTTTGCAAAGGCATTTTCAAAGTCACAAGGGAGGGAAGCTTGGAAATTACAAAAGAACCTAAAAGGATATCTGTGTGCCTAAAGTCCAGGCCATAAAAAGAAAGTAGTGGCAATAGAATGAACATGTAAAGGTGGCCAGGTGCTAAATTGGCAGTGCCTTGTGGGCCATGGTAAGAGTTGTAGACATTTATCCAGTGGTGAATGGGAAATGATTGATGGATTGAGTGACACTCAACCATTGATGCATTGAGTGACATGATCATCCTCTGGATGGTCATACTGGATGCTCAATAGGGAATGGGATGAAGAAGGCAATAGTGGGATTGGAAATCTCCAATAAGAGGTGAAGGAATGGTGATGGCTTCAATTTGGTTGAGGTAGTAGAGATGGAGATAAGTGGATTTAACAGGCAATTGAGGGGAATTAATAACAGCGTTTTTCAAGGAAGACGTGAGGGAGAGAGAGAGAAGTCACAGACATTTCAGCAAGTGGGTGGATGGTGCTGTTTTTCACTGGAGTGAAGAACACAGATATAGAAAGAGATATGGATGTGTTAGGAAAAGATGAAAAGTTCAATTTGGGCATGTTGAGTCCGGGATGTCCATGTGATGTTCCAGAAGTGATGACAAGTTGAATTTATGGGTCTAAAATCTGAGGTGGAGACAGAAATTTGAGAATCATCAACTTTTACATTAAAAGGATGAGAAGTACAGTGGCATAAAAAAGAACCTCAAGAAACTCCAGCAACCTCCTTCACAAACTGCCCTTTCCACCTCTGTTTGCACACAGCCTAACCCCAACTGAAAATTCCCAACCACCCCATATTCTGGGGACAATGGGCTGAGCATGAAAGTGGGTAAAGAGAAAGACATAAATGCAGCCAGGAATTAGAAACTATCAGAGGCAACCAAACCAATTGCAGGAACTTGGAAGCCCATGGAAAGAGAGAACAAGTCAGAAAGAAAGGTGACATACTGAAATTATAGCCAGACGGAAAGGAGAACCCAGAGGAAAAGTTGTGTCTATTGTTCTGTGTCTGACTCAATATGACCACCATGGTAGAGAAACATTCGAGGATATTTACAGGTGTGCAGTGAGAATCCCAAAGTGTTGAGAGTGGGAAGAAAGTGAGCTAAGATTAAAAGCTATTTAACAGGAGGGGCATATGGTTTAAGCTTCATAAAAAATGAAACCTGTGTAGTTTTTCTTTTTTTTCTTTTCTTTTCTTTCTTCCTTTCTTTCTTTTTCTTTCTTTCTTTTCTTTCTTTTTTTTTTTTTTGATGGAGTCTCCCTCTGTAGTCCAGCCTGGGGTGCAGTGGTGCGATTTTGGCTCACTGCAACCTTTGCCTCCCAGGTTCAAGCAATCCTCCTGCCTCAGCCTCCAGAGTAGCTGGGATTACAAGCATGTGCCACCAAGTCCAGACAATTTTTGTATTTTTTGTAAAGCTGGGGTTTTGCCACGTTGGCCAGGCTGATCTTGAACTCTTGACCTCTAATAATTCGCCTTCCTTGGCCTCCCAAAGTGCTAGGATTACAGGCATGAACCACCATGCCTGGCCCTAAGTCTAGTTATTCTACAGAAGATTTTAAAAATCAAAGGAGTCTCATTAAGATAGTAATGAAGAACAAGAATTTAGGAAGGTGATAATCATGGGGTATAAAACCTCAGTTATGTGCAAGGAATAAGTCTAATTTTTAAAGATAAATTGTACAGCATGCTAAATATAGCTAATAATTGAGTACTGTAAATTTCAGTATCATTAAGAGCAAAAATTTCTAATGTTCTCATCACAAAAAAATGTTAAATACTTGAGGTGATGGATATGTTAATTTGCTTAATTTAATCATCTCACATCGTCTTCAAAAATTATAATACCACTTTGTACCCAATAAATATATACAACTATACTTTGTGTGTGCATGTATGTGTAAAACTGAAGGCACTCTCATCTAAGAAAAATGCGTTTAGTGTCCCAGGGTTGAAAGAAATAGCCAGGACCTAGAGCTATTGGTGTTTCAAGACCATGGATAATTCCAAGTGCCTTTCTTCATGATTCTTTAGTTATCATATAAGAGTTTTGAATACAGCAAACTCCTGTAGAAATTTTTTTTTTGAGGGGTGAGAATGGTTACTGGTGAGGAGAATTGTATGTGTCTTAGACTGTCAAGAGTGTGACATTAGCATTTCAATTTCTTTTCTTTGTCTCAGTAGGGCCCTTAAGACTCTGACAACCCAGGGAATCCTAGGTTAAATTCATTCCCTATTCCTTAGTCCTCTTTTTTGTTGACACTCTCCATTGGTCATTACTTCCCCATCCTCTCCTTCCACACTTTCTCCCTGCTTGATGTTTATATCGGGCTTCTCTACAGACAAAGAAAACCATCCTTTCCAATTCTCTAAACTGTTGGCTTCTTTAGGTCTCGTCTTTATGCCTGGAACCATCCAGATGAAATCCACCGACATATTGTATAGGTTGCAGATGTCTAAGGCCAAGGCTATCGTTGCGGGGGATGAAGTCATCCAAGAAGTGGACACAGTGGCATCTAAATGCCCTTCTCTGAGAACTAAGTTACTGGTGTCTGAGAAAAGCTGGGATGGGTGGCTGAACTTCAAGAAACTATTAAAGTGAGTATCTACATGTCTCAGCCTGGGTTTTAACTAAAACTGGAAACAGAGCCAAGCACTTAGGTGCAGGTGCTTTATTGAGGAGGTGCAGGAAGCAGAGCGTGGGACTAGGAAGAGTGAAGCTGGGAAGAAATAAAAGCTAATGCAAGGGTTTTTTGGTTTTTTTTTTGTTTTGTTTTGTTTTTTTTCTTCAAGTCATTGCAAGGACTAAATAGGGCTTGATCTCCCTGGACCTTCTGAGCAGCACATATAATGCCTCCCAGGACTGTCCTCTAAAGGACTGAAAAGCACTGACCCATCAGCATCTGACCCCCACAGGTTGAGGGTTGCCCTGGGAGTGTTATTGCCTCCACACGCTTGGCTGCACACTCATGCATGAAGAGTGGCTCGGAGTTCCATGCTATGGTAAAACAGAGAAACTATGGGAATAGTGAATCACTTGTGGTGCACACTGGAAACAACATGGTGTTAACAACAAGTGGGTTGAAACTCAGCCAGAACTATTCACTGGAACTATGACTCAAATCAGGGGTGAGGCCAAGGTCATGAGGGAAAACCCAAGAGATGGCTGACCCACCGAGTTTCTAGACTCTTCTTCCCACCTTCTGTATCTCTAAGAGAGGTTGATGAAGGGCAGAGTCTCTCCATGTGTCCTTCCAAAAGTTGATAGCATGATTGGCTGGATTAATGATTTTCTCTGTCACATGTCTGAAATCTGAAATCCCTCTATTAGGGGCACATATGATTGGAAACTTGAAGGGATAACTTCAACTTTTCCTTTCTAATGCCATAGTCTTTAAGGTAGATGTCATAGAAATAAATAACATGATGCCTGCTTTTTCTTTTTAGATGGACTCTCACTCTGTTGCCCAGGCTAGAGTGCAGTAGCACGATCTCAGCTCACTGCAAGCTACGCCTCCCGGGTTCATGCCATTCTCCTGCCTCAGTCTCCTGAGTAGCTGGGACTACAGGCGCCCACCACCACGCCCGGCTAATTTTTTGTATTTTTAGTAGAGACGGGGTTTCACCATGTTAGCCAGGATGGTCTCGATCTCCTGACCTCGTGATCTGCCTGTCTCGGCCTCCCAAAGTGCTAGGATTACAGGCATTAGCCTCCATGCCCGGCCAATGCCTGCTTTCAAAGGCTCAAAATCAGGACACTGGAGATGTTCAAGAGATGTGTAGGTGCTTCCAGGGAATAGAAGAGAGTGCCAAGAAAGTACTTGGAAAACTCATATTAATTCCACACCTCCGTCCACTTGGTGTCATGCCAGGGCTCTTCACAACAATTAGATTAGCATTTATTGAGTTCTTGCTAAGCAAGTTGCTCATTTCTTTGGTGGTAGAGTTAACTTTCTCAGTAACTCTATTAGACTTGATCTCACTTTTTGCAGATATAAAGTGAGACACAGGGAAGTTAAATAACTAGTTTAGGGTTGCATTGATAACAAAGTGCCAAATTTGAGTGGTTTTCAAACCCAACTCTGATTGACCCAGACTCCCATGATATTAATCACTCAGCAGCCTCTCTTCTGAGGTGGTTCGATCAACTTGCCTTTTTCAGCACAGTGGGTGGTGGGAAAAGATGGGTTACTGTGATATCTGGTGTCCAGGCTAGATCTGAGAAAATGACAATCTCTGTCGCTGTCAGCGAGGCATCCACCACTCATCGATGTGTGGAGACTGGAAGCCATGAAACAGCTGCCATCTACTTCACTAGTGGGACCAGTGGTCTTCCCAAGATGGCAGAACATTCCCACTCAAGCCTGGGCCTCAAGGCCAAGATGGATGCTGGGTAAGCTGAGCTCTTTCTCTCTACAGAGAATTGTATGACGAGGCATGAAGACTTTTCTGAGTTCAAATCCAGTGCTCCTAGGCTGGGCTACCACCTTGTGGTTCTGAGAAAGAAAATTCAGAAGGAAAGCTAAAGAGGACTTGGCTTCACGTGCCGGGTATCCAGTGATCTCCAATGGGACACATCTTTTAGACAACACAGGGTCTCAAAACTTCTTCCACGTGTTGAGCCAAATGCCTAGCAGTGTGAATAATTAGCAAAAAGCTTATGTGCATTTCCCCAGACTGATCTCTATGTTGTTGTTTGGGGTGCTGGCAGTTTGCTTTGATACTGTCCACGTTCCAAGAGGGCAGTTTTTGTCAGCGGCAAATTACTTTGCAAATTCATTGAAGTGGAAGATATAATTGGATAAATTTGCGAACAAAGATCTCAGGATTTCTGGGTCACAGACCTCATAGTTGGGCTTTTTTTTTCCACTGTTACATTAATCCCATTTTTGGAATCATGAAACACTGCGCCAAGGTCTTCACACAATGATATCTATAAATCATCAGAATTTTTTTAGTAGATCCCTCCTTCCATGTTAATTTTATTATTAGAATGGGAAAATATACTAATGCAAAAAATGGAAAGTGTAAATGTTCCATCTATGAGACCATAGTGACAGCAAATTAAATAAGTTAATAAAAATTATACAATAGAAGAGCTGCAGTAAAACGCAGTTTCTAAAAGATAGGGGATAAATTACTTAAATGTAACTAAAATATGAAATTCCCCTTCCCCCCAAAAATTTGGTAGTGATCTCGTTTTTCACAGATATAAAGTGAGACTTAGAGAAGTCTTATACTATGACCTAATTTCCCTGCAGAGCCGAAAGCATTAATCATCTTCAGGAAAGAAAATACACTATGGCAGTCCCCAGTCACAAGGAAGTTGTTCATGTCTAGCCTAAATCATTCTTGCTTTAAGAAAGGTCTAAACCTTTTATTCTGCCCTAAAGAGAGAAAACTGATAAGTTTACTTAGTGCAAGACCATCAGCTGTACGGGCAATTTGCAGTACCTGAAGAAAAGAGAAGCAAAGTTCTATTCAGCCAAACTTGAACTTGGCAAGGCATCTGTTAGAATATTTGTCATGCAGATGCCTTGTGTTAGTAAAATTTTCCTGGGTGGTTACCACATGCATGCCACAAACTGTACTAAGTTTTAGAGGTAAAATGAGAATGAGACCCAATTATATATTAAGTCATGTCAACTGGGGTCCCACCTTCTGAACATGCATCTCCTGTTGATGCAGGATGTGTGGGTAGAACAACTTTTCTTCCCCCTTCCTACTTATACTTAGACATATGCCTATAAACCTGCAGGCAGATACACACAGACCTCTGAGCACACACCTCTCTTTCCTCCCCTACACCTTAGTGTCCCACACATCCTAAGGTCAGCATGCACCCACCTATCTGTACATGTGTTTTGTCTGTGTTTTCAGTTGGACAGGCCTGCAAGGCTCTGATATAATGTGGACCATATCAGACACAGGTTGGATACTGAATATTATAACCTCACTTTTGGAAACTTGGACAGTAGGAGCATGCACATTTGTTCATCTCTTGCCAACATTTGACCCACTGATTATTCTAAAGGTAAGAGAGGATCCTGTTTGCACCAGTTATTCGGAGTGAGCCCGAGGTTTGCACACTTCAATTTATTGTAGTTTGCTTCAACTTATTTAATTTTTGCTAAACCCCTGCCATGTGGTGAACAGTGTTCAGTAAGCAAGATGGAAATGATCCCTGATCTCATGGAGCTCATGTTCTGGGGAAGGAGACAGACACATATATAGATGAAAGCAGTATGTTCAGGAGAAAGATGTTGTAGGTCATTTGTTCACTCAACAACCGCAATGGGCTCGTCCACTGGTGTCACCTATCAGATAGATGCTGATGAACCACATGTAAAAGGGAAAGCTGGAATATTGGAGGGGGATGCCATCTCCCTCTCTCTGTGTGTGTGTGTGTGTGTGTGTGTGCGCGCGCATATTTCATTTCCTTTTTTATTTGCAGCATAAAACACAAACTGAAAGTAAAGTACATAGACTGCCACCATCCCAAGTGTACAGTTTGAAAATAATTTACCTATGTTAACATACTGTCTCAGTCAGCTTGGACTACTACAATAAAATACCATAGTCTAGGTGGCTTAAATAACAGACATTTACTTATTATAGCTCTGGAGGCTATAAGTCTGAGATCAGGATGCCAGCATAATTGGATTCCTGGGGAGGCCCTCTTTCTGGCTTGCTATGGTTGCCTTATTGCTGTATTCTCACATGGTTGAGAAAGACAGTGCTGGTATCTCTTCCTTTTTAAAAATAAAGACATTCATGCTCTCATTGGGGCACCTGTTTCATTACCTTGTATAATTACCCCTAAAAGCCCCGCCTCCAAATACCATCAAGTTGAGAGTTAGAGCTTTAATATAGGGATTTAGGTGGGGATACAGCATCCAATTCATATCAGACACCCATGTAAACACCACTAGATCAAGACATGAAATATTCCCACCACTGCAGGTGTTCATACTCCTTCTCTGACAGTGTCCACACCCCATAACTTAATCATTCGTTTGATCTCTATCACCATAGATTAATTTTATCTCTTCTTGCATTTCATGTAAATGGAACCACATTACATATAATCTTTTGCATTTGGCTTCTTTTACTCAAAATATTCTCTGTGAGGTTAGTCCACGTGTTGTGTGTATCAGATGTTTGTTCTTTAACTGGCTGCGTAGTATTCCATTCTGTGAATCTATCAAAATTTTCCCCCATCCTATTGTTAATGAACATTGAGTTATTTCCAATTTAAGATGATTTTTCTAGAAGCAACTCAGAAGAATAAATGGAATTTTTTCCTATAGAACTTGATGGTACAGCCATTAGGTAAGACCCACAAACTGCAGGTATGCATTATCCTGTAGCAACAAAGCAATAAAAATGACCTCACTTTGCTTACAAAGATACACCCTATGTTGGACTCTTTGATAGAGGGGTTGGGTTATTTCCCTGCCATGCCCCCAGATCTCTGATGGCCCATCCGGACATCTATTTGGCTGCAACAAAGGTTCAAGCTAAGGCATAGATGACGTCTTCAAAAGTCAAAAAGTCAGGTGTGGTCTGAATTTTCTTAGGAAATTATCTTCAAATGATACTGTCATTCTCTGTTTTAAACAAATTCTTACTCTGTGTCCTTCCCAAAAGGATTTGAACTGGCTCTTATTAAGTTCCACCATTTAAAAAAAAATGAAAACAGAAGCAAAATTATAAAGTCCATTAGGAAAATATAGGTTGGAGGTGTAGGGGGGAAAGACTAAGGAAATTAAGGAGAAATATAGCAAATGAGTATGTAGTTGCAAGTTGAGCTTCTAGTAAGGCAAAGTAATAAGGAATATGGCATCATTTTCGTAGCTTATATCTGTTTACCAAGAGCATCTGAAGGAAATGATTTCATGATATTCACATTTGTCATTTTTTCTAGACATTTTGCTTAAACCATTGCCATGGTTTGAATATTTGTGCCCTCCAAAACTCATGATGAAACTTGTAAACCAAAAATAAAATCCTAAGGCCCCGCCACCCGCAACCATCTGAATGACCTTCCTCCTCAGCCAGGGTTCTTTTAAAAATTTAACCTAAGAGACTGTTTCAGGCCATGACAGGAAGTGAGAGTGGGACATGCTTCATTATACCTCTCTGGTATTAACAGCAATACAGATTTCAAGTCTGATTTAAAAAAAAAAAAAAAACCCATTTTACAACCTATTCTCTCTAACGCCTAGTGCCAGTACCTAAAAGCTTCCTCTGCAAATAAGAACTTAGGTCTCCATAATTCTTTATTTTAACCAAGGCATTCCTTTCTATTGATCCCAGGTCTTTAGATAAACTCAACCAATTGTCAATCAGAAAAAATTTAAATCTACCTATAAGCTGGAAGACCCCGCTTCAAGTTGTCCCACCCTTCTGGGCCAAACCAATGTATTTTTTAAATGTGCTTGATTGAAGTCTCATGTCTCCCTAAAATGTATAAAACCAAGGTGCACCCTGACCACCTTGGGCACGTGTTCTCAGAACCTCCTGAGGGCTGTGTCACGGCCATGGTCACTCATGTTTGGCTCAGAATAAATCTCTTCAAATATTTTACAGAGTCTGGCACCTTTCATCAACAAACTCAATCCCCAGTGGCACAGTATTAAGAGGTGGGGCCTTTAAGAGATGATTGGGTCTCATGAGGGATTAATGGATTAATGGGTTATCAAGTTAGTGGGTTAGTTTTGAAGAGTAGGTCTGTTATATAAAAAGCCAGTTTTGCTCTGTCTCATGAGCCCCTTTGCCATGTGATGCCCTGAGTCCCCATCAGCAAGAAGGCTCTCACCAGATGCAGCTTCTTGACCTTGGACTCTCCAGCCCCTAGAATTGCAAGAAATAAATTTCTTTTCTTCATAAATTACTCAGTCTTGGGTACTCAGTTATAGCAACAGAAAACAGACTAAGACAATACTCTATTACATTCTTCATAAAGAAAAGCATGGGATGGAGATGGTATTATATTACAGGAATACATGCTGCAAATAATGATCCCACTACTTGCTGACTAGGTGACCTTGGAGCAGCTACTTAACCTTGTACATCATGGTTTCCCCTCTGAATCATGAGGATGATAGTACACACTCTGTGAGGTTATTGTGAAAATTAAATGAGATAACACAGAACATGGCAAGTATTCAGTACTAGGTCTTTTTGTAGCACTTGTTTTGAAATGTCTATAGATATAAATGCACAATGTCTTTAGCTTTTCAAAGACCTTTTATAGCTAAAATATAACCCAAAAGTATTTTCGGGAAAATAAGGTTGGAAACAAACTATTATAAAGTTGGCTACAGAAGGTTAAGGGACTTAACCAAGACAGCTGCTGTGCTCAGGCAGCTGATCTTCCCTTAGTTGCTAGGGGGTGATATACTCCTAGGGTTGTGTTAATGAGGGCAAGTCTTAAACTGGCAGGAACAGACATCCAAGATTTGACAAAAAGGTTTCAAAATAGTCTTAGGCTTTTTCACTACCATAATATGTATTCATTTCCCTGTTATTTGTGTTTTCAGGGTGCATAAGAATTGTGGGGCTCATTTGACCTGAAACAGACATAGTAAACAAGCTAGCATTTTAATCCAGACCTCTACAACTCCATAGCTCACAACTGTAACCACTGTGCATAGCCATAAGTTGGCATCTGACCTGGTGACCAATGTCTCACCTGGCTCTCTTCTTCTAGACGCTCTCCAGCTACCCAATCAAGAGCATGATTGGTGCCCCCCTTGTTTACCGGATGTTGCTACAGCAGGATCTTTCCAGGTGATGGGGCTGTGAGGATTGGTAAGAGAGTCTGGCCCCGTCCCCCTGACTCCCTCACATACATGCATGCCTATCTATCTGAATCTCTTGCACACAGATAACCCCATGAAGCCATTTGCATCATCAAAGCACCCAGAAACCAGGTCTAGGCCTGGGTGGACTTTGGTTCCAGGGAGGCTGAGGGGAAACTCTTATTTCTCTTCTTCAGTTACAAGTTCCCCCATCTACAGAACTGCCTCAGTGGAGGGGATTCCCTTCTTCCAGAAATTCTGGAGAACTGGAGGGCCCAGACTGGACTGGACATCCGAGAATTCTATGGCCAGACAGAAACGGTACCTGTTCCCAGGGGAACCATGGGCTGGATGCACTTTTTGGGCTTCAAAATCCTCTTTGACAATAAAAAAATGTTAGCCACCATTTATCATTCATTTATTTGAGAAATATTTATTGAGCCTCCATGAAGGGACAGGTACTGGGTATTGAAAATTCAGCACAGAACGAAACAGGCAAAGCTCCTGTTTTCTGAGAGATTACATTCCAGTGAGATTTGGGGAGAGAGACAATAAAGTAAGAACTATCTAGCATGGCAGGTGGTGAGAAATGCGATGGAAAAAGTAAAGTAGATGAGATGGGGTGAGAAGTTGGTAAATCAGATATGGTAGTCAGAAAGGTCCTCTGTGATAGGGAAACATTTTAGCAGAGACCAAAGTTTATCAAACATGTCAAGCACTGTACAAAGCTGCTTAGACCGAAGTGAAGAATGGGAAGAAGAACCCACCATGGCTTTACTGCACTTCCTGAGATATCTTCTTGGAACTCTTGAGGTCTCATGTGCACAATATGAACTTATGCTATTCTATACTGTTTTACTTATCCAAACTACATGGGGACTACTTTCCCTCAACTCTTTCTCTCCTTTTTCCGGTGCCTCTTACTTGTAACTCTCAGCACTTCTTGCCTTTTCCTCTCCACTCTCTTACCCTGCATCCTTCTTTGGCTAATGAGTACCCTTGGAAGAACTTCGCAGAGGGTTGATGGCAGCTCTGTGGTATGAAAGAGCCAGGAAGAGTTCTGCAAATATGAATAAGGACAATGGAGTTGTGGCAAGCATACCCTGGCAGGGGCCTCCAACCATTCAGAGGAGGACATGTTTAGGATATGCTTACAAGGACACTCAGACTCCCATGATCTTGATCACTCAGCAGCCTCTCTTCTGAGGTGGGTCGATCAACTTGCCCTTTTCAGCACAGTGGGTGGTGGGAAAAGATGGATCACTGTGATATCTGGTGTCCAAGCTAGATCTGAGAAAATGACAATCTGTGTCTCTGTCAATGAGGCATCTACCACTCATCTCTTATTCTGTTGGGAATGTTCATTTCAGGGTTCAAGCAGAACTGGTGCTGCCATGGGAGATCATTTAAAAAGTATATTTTACTGCTTGAGGAAATGGATACCTCATTCTTCATGATGTGATTATTTCAAATTGCATGCCTGTATTAAACCATCTCATATATCCCATAAATATATACACCTATGCACCCATGAAAATTCAAAATAAAAACAAAAGTCAGTATATTTCAGGCCTTACAGATTGCATATTGGTGATTCCATATAGTTTGAAAGGACTTTGGGTATCCATAGTGTCATATAAAAATGTGGCTTCCCCTAAAAGGGAGTATAATGTGACTGTTAGGTCCTCTTCCTGGGGAGTGGTAGTTGGGTTGCTTACTGAACAAACAATTTGGCAAAGCCCCTAGGATTGTGGTTCCAGTAATGGGGAGACAGCCAGGGAATGAGTAGCGGGACGAGCCCCCAAGTGTAGGCAAAGTTCAGGGCCTGCTCTACAGAAACTTTTTCTTTTTGTATGACCTTGTACCTCCTCCTGAAGTTTGCTGATCTCTCTGCTTCTTTCCACAGGGATTAACTTGCGTAGTTTCCAAGACGATGAAAATCAAACCAGGATACATGGGAATAGCTGCTCCCCATTATGATGTACAGGTTTGCCCGGGACACTAAGGAGGGAGGAAGTTAGGGGAAACACTGATTTTCAGTAATTTATGTATTCCATTGTTTACTGAGTCAAAATAATAGAAAGTACCGATATTAAGATAACATAAGGAAAAAGAGAGGGAGGGGGGGAGGTTAGGGGGAAGGAGAGAGTGAGGGAAGGAAGGAGGAAAAGGGGAAATGATTTATATTGTTACCATCCAGAAGGACCCACTTTGAATATCTAGCAAATTAGCTAGACAGTACGCAAGTATATATGCTTTAAAAACAAAACTAGGGGTGAATCCTGACATAACATTTTGTAACTTGCTTTAATCATTTAACAATTTAGGTAAAGATCTTTTCCATTCAATTAATGCCAATCTACAGCATGATTTTTAATGATGATATAGTAGTAAATAGTAGGTATCCACCCCTATTTATGCCTTTTATTGGACCAAGGGATGATGTCCCAGTTTTCACTAGTAAAAATACACTATAATGAATGCGTTGTAGTTAAAGTTTTATTGTTTTTGGAGAACTAGAATTTGTGTTTGTGTACCTGTGTTATGTGTATAGTTTTGTATATCTAAAGTGTAACTTAGACTCTATTCAGTGTCATATCCAGTTACTTGCCATGATATTAACTATCATAACCATTTGCTAAGCCCCTTTCTTAGTATCTTATTTCATTCCTATAAAAATCCTGTGAAATAAGCTGTCAGTATCTGTTTTATGGGTGAAAACACTGAAGCACAGAGTTTAAGTAGTTCAAAGTCAGCTAGTAAGGTAGCAGAGTAAATGTAAGTTTTGATCTGCCTGATTTCTAAGTCCACAGGTGAGGTAGGTCTCAAAGATAAGGGGAGGCTATTATTTTATCTGAGCTCCTAAAGCCAAAAGCATCTCCCCAGACTCATCTGGGCCAGTCTCAATAAAAGGATTCACCTAAACTATTCCAGGCAGATGGATCAGAGATCTGAGTTTAAGGCTCTTGGGTTCCCTTGGTTTCTGGTTGTTGTTTTCAGTCTCCACTAGAGCAAGAGGGTCTTTCATTTGACCAACTCAGTAATCTCATGCTACCACTGAAGCCATCTCCTGCTCTGTGCATCATTCTTCCAACCTGCTTCTTTCTCCAGGTCATAGATGATAAGGGCAACGTCCTGCCCCCCGGCACAGAAGGAGACATTGGCGTCAGGGTCAAACCCATCAAGCCTGTAGGCGTCTTCTCTGGCTATGTGGTGAGAAACTGTGCTCCTCCTCCTCTGTTCCTCAGTGAGGATGGGGAGCACTAAATGGGGTGAGGGAAGCCAAATGTTCTGAAACTTCAAGAGGCTAATTAATCACAGTGTTCCCAGAAATGAAATTGATAGGAAGCCTAATTTATGCAAGCAGAAAACTTCTAGGTCAAATAGACAAAAGACTAATTTGAATTAGTGTGAAGACAAATATCTGTGAAGACAAAGAGTGTCCAGTTTTCAAGAATGTATGCTTTGCCAGTGGAAGAAAAGACTGTCTATTCAGCCTTGCCTTCCTCAGCCTATCACTGTGACCTCATTGGAAGACTTATTTTTCTTCAATTAGCCCTCAGACTTCTCAAGAACTCTCTGTTTCATGCCCAAAATATTATTGACCCTGAACTATACACAGCACCATTCCCCCAAGGGCAGCCTTGCCCCCTCCCATAGGTATCATCCCCATGCTCTATGCCACTGATCTTCTTTAGAGCCTGCCAGGCACTTTACATTGAGACTTTGCCATCCAGTTGGAGGAATCCCTATCTTCAGATCTTGGGAAGGTAAAGACAGATAATCCTTGAATCCGGCCACCTCACTTGACAGGTGAGGATGTTGGAGCCAGAGATTACAAGACTTGCTCAAGCTCACAACCATTAGAAAGTGGACAGAGAAGACCCCAAGGGCATGCCTTCTGATCCCTGAGATAATTCATTAATAAAATAAATAAATAATAAATCAAATAATAGTAGTTTCCACCACTTATTGAATGCATACCATGAGGCAAGCATTGTCCTATAAACACATTTAATCTGTAAACTTTAAACTCATTTAAACTTTAAACTCGTTTAACCCTCCCAGCCACCCTATAAAGTTTTTGGACTCAGCTTACTCAAGTTCAAAACCCTGTACTGCGTGATCTTAGGCAAGTTACTTATCTGTCATGTCTCAGTTTCCTCATCTGTAAGTTTTGTGTTGTGAGTGTGTTCAATAAAATAATTGTTGTAGATGTGAATGATTATTCCTATTTTACGGATGAGGAAAACTGAGCCTCAGAGATCAGGGCAGAGCCACACTGTTCCCTTCTCCAAGCATTTCCTGTGTGCAGTCCCACTCTATTCTCAAAAGCCAGTGAAGTACCAAGTCATGGGCTTCTCCCCATTTGACAGGAAAGGAAACAGACTCAGAAGTGTCTGTTGGGCAGACTTCTGAGGCCACAGAGGCTCCATGTGGCCATGAGAAAGTCAAGCCAGTGGCCAAGAAACCTGGCTTCTGGTCTCAATTCTACCTTCTGTCATGGCTGTTTAGCTTCAGACGAGCCTCTTGGTGTCTCTGATCATTAGCATCCCTCTATTCCCAATGATGGAGTGAGGCTAAGAATTCTTTATGCCACCATATCATCTAGTAACTGAATCTCCAGTCTGGAGCCCATGCCCCAATACCAGAGTCATATAGGAAGATGCCCTGACAAGGGATAAAGCTTAAGCCTTTTCGTTACTCATAAGCAAGTGCCTCAGCTTAATAGAGGGATCCAGCCATTGTAGAAACATGCACATTAGCCAGGGTCCCAGGGGGCTTCCTGGCTAATGTCCCTAGAACTTTCAAATTTAACAAAGAAGCCAAGAAAAGTACCTAATCAAAACGATAGTTTTGAGTGGTGCCATGGAGTGAGCAGAGATTAGGATATCTGTGAAAGGGGAGATGGAAACAACTGGGGGAAATGCCCTAAGCCTGGATGAAAAGATACATCAATAATATCCATCAGACGGGACCTAGAGGAGTAGCTGAGAGACCCTGAGTGGAATAACTTCAATAAATGGGAAAGATCCAGTTCCACCTGCAGTCTAGGGTTGGCTGGTTCAGGGCACGTCTGCCATGGTCCAGTTATACACTGCACACCTGCAGTTTTAATAAGACTTATGACATCCGTTCATGGCAGCCCCAGGGTAGGGGATTTAGGCTTTGCAGGCACAATCACTCTGTCTTTCTGTGGTCACCAGGACAATCCCGAGAAGACAGCAGCCAACATTCGAGGGGACTTTTGGCTCCTTGGAGATCGGGGAATCAAAGATGAAGATGGGTATTTCCAGTTTATGGGACGGGCCGATGATATCATTAACTCCAGCGGGTGAGCTTGGTTTCTGGATTGGGAGGGGAAATTTGGGTCTTTACTCTGGCTGGTTCCAGACTTCTGGGATGGCCTAGAGGTTGGGTGTCCAGTCTTCTCTGAAGGACAGGTTCTTCTGCAGGTACCGGATTGGACCCTCAGAGGTAGAGAACGCGCTGATGGAGCACCCTGCTGTGGCTGAGACGGCTGTGATCAGCAGCCCAGACCCCGTCCGAGGAGAGGTGATGGGGAAGCAGCAGTCTGGGGGTGAACAGATATCAACACAAGGGCAGTGTAGTATGATGGTTTAAGAACAGGGACTGTGGGGCTAAACACTCTGAGACCCAATCTTGGCCCTGCCACTTACTAGCTATGTGACCTTGGGCAAGCTACTTGGCCTCTCTGTTTCTCAGTTTCCCCATTTGTAAGATGAGGGATTGTTATGAGGGTTAAATGTGCTAATATTTGTAAAGTATGGTGATTTCTCAAAAAACTAAACAGAACTACCGTATGATCCAGCAATCCCACTACTGGGTATTTATCCAAAGGAAAAGAAATCAGCATATCAAAAAGATGTCTACACTCCCATGTTAATTGCAGTACTATTCACAATACAAAGATATGAGATAAACCTAAGTATCCAATGAATGAATGGATAAATAATACGTGGTATATATACACAATGGAATGCTATTTGTCATTAAAAAAGGATGAAGTCATGTCATCTGCAGCAACATGGAGAGAACTGGAGGTCATTATGTTAAGTGAAGTAAGCCAGGCACCGAAAGATAAATATCACATGTTTGCACTCATAAGTGAGAGCTAAAATAGTTGATCTCATGGAGATAAAGAGTAGAGTGATAGATACCAGAGGCTGAGAAGGGTGTGTGGGTGGCAAAGCGGGGGATGAAGAGAGGTGGGTGAATGGGTATAAACATACAGTTAGGGCCGGGCGCGGTGGCTCAAGCCTGTAATCCCAGCACTTTGGGAGGCCAAGATGGGCGGATCACGAGGTCAGGAGATCGAGACCATCCTGGCTAACACGGTGAAACCCCGTCTCTACTTAAAACACAAAAAACTAGCCGGGCGAAGTGGCGGGCGCCTGTAGTCCCCGCTACTCGGGAGGCTGAGGCAGGAGAATGGCGTAAACCCGGGAGGCGGAGCTTGCAGTGAGCTGAGATCCGGCCACTGCACTCCAGCCCAGGCGACAGAGCAAGACTCCGTCTCAAAAAAAAAAAAAAACATACAGTTAGATGGAAGCAATAAGTTCGAATGTTCAATAGCAGAGTAGAGTGACTATAGTTAACAACCATGTACTGTATATTTCAAAATAGCTAGAAGAGAGGACTTGAAATGTTCTCAACACATACAAATTATAAATACTCAAGGTGATGGACACCCCAAGTATCCTAATTTGATAATTACAATATATGCGTGTAACAAAATATCACTTGTACCCAATACATATGTACAAATATGAATCGATAAAAATTTTTAGAAAGTAAAGTGCTCGGTTGGGAGGCCGAGGCGGATGGATCACGAGGTCAGGAGTCCAAGACCAGGCTGGCCAAGATGGTGAAATCCCGTCTCTACTAAAAATACAAAAATTAGCGTGGCACGGTGGCAGGCACCTGTAAATCCAGCTACTTAGGAGGCTGAGGCAGGAGAGTAGCATGAACCCGGGAGGCGGAGCTTGCAGTGAGCCGAGATCGTGCCATTGCACTCCAGCCGTGGCGACAGAGTGAGACTGTCTCAAAAAAAAAAAAAAAAAAAAAAACTTGAAGTGCTTGGAACAAGGCCTAGCACATAGTAAGTACCATATAATGTCTATTTTGATGAGGCTGGAAGGAGTCTATCCTGCTGTTTGGTGTTTGAATCAGACTCTGATTCCTGACCAGAAGAACAGAGGAGGGATTTGAGCCAAAGGATAGAGCCCCCGTGCCACAGGGTTCGCAGTGAAAACAAAGGGAAAAAGAAAGACCCCTATAAAGCCAGGGTTATAGAAATAGGCTCAGATGGGGTCTAGTGGACTTCGATGTGTGTGTAGGAAAATATTAAGGTGGGATGTGTGGATCAGTGTCCTCGTACATTTCCACAGGGTGTAAGCCTGGCACTATCACACCTCCGGTACGTACAGAACACATCGCACAGAAAATGATGGGAACCACTGAGCAGTGAGGCCAAGGGGGGATCCTCTGCTGAGAAAACCCTGTGTGTCCAGCTCTGAGCCAGCCCTGCTGTACATGATTTCATTTTATTTACCATAAGTTAAATATGGCAGTTTTATCCCCATTTTATAGATGGGAACACTGAAGTTTGGAGAAGTTAACACGTTGTTTAGGGTTATGGTTTTCAGTCTATTTTTCTCTTTTCTCCCCCTGTATCTTCTTTCTCCTCATCTGTCTCTATTGTCCTTGGAGTGTGAGGCGAGCCTGGTCTCAATCTATTGTCCACCTGCTCCTCCAATAAACAACTTCAGAGAGAGCTGGAACCTCATTCTTGTCCCCAGTTTCTCCCTTTCCCTTGACCTGGATCACTGGGGATGCAAATGAGGAGATACAAGGGTGATGGAAGTCTTAATGCCAATTTCACATTACTCCAGGAGATGACTACACACTCTAATCCCTTCTCCCTTGGCCCTTATCTTTTTTGCAGGTGGTGAAAGCATTTGTGGTCCTGGCCTCGCAGTTCCTGTCCCATGACCCAGAACAGCTCACCAAGGAGCTGCAGCAGCATGTGAAGTCAGTGACAGCCCCATACAAGTACCCAAGAAAGGTAAGGCCTTTGAGATCCCAAGTCACTCAAACTTGAGAAATAGATTGTTTTCCTGTTATATTTACCTTCAGGAGGAGGACAGCCCTCTAATTTTAAAAAGTCTTCCTGGGCCAGGTGCAGTGGCTCACGCCTGTAATCCCAGCACTTGGGGAGACCGAGGCGGGTGGATCACTTGAGGTCAGGAGTTTAAGACTAGCCTGGCCAACATGGTGAAACCCTGTCTCTACTCAAAATACAAAAATTAGCCAGGCGTAGCAGCATGCGCCTATAATCCCAGCTACTCAGGAGGCTGAGGCACGAGAATCGCTTGAATCTGGGAGATGGAGGTTACAGTGAGCCGAGATTGTGCCATTGCACTCTAGCCTGGGTGACAGAGTGAGACTCTGTCTCAGAAAAAAAAAGTATTTCTGACTATGATCAAGAAAGCCCAGGAAGACAATCTAGCAACTATCTTGATGCTTGAAAAATGACCTCAGCTTTTGACTCACTCTGAATTAAAAGCAGAGGGTGAAGTTGCACTGTGACTTAGTCTCAATGGGAACCCCAGCCAATCCCATGGGAGTTCTGAAGCTTGCATAACCTTTCAGTGTTGTCCTAAGGCAAGGTGAGGAAGGGAAGGGGGTCTCTACAGTCACAGGTGGATCAAGTATGGATGTAGGCTGCCCTGGGAAGGAGCGTGACCTTGGACAAGACAGCTGTCTTTGGCTGAGGCAATTCCCACAGGGGTCTGGCAGTGGGGTGGGAGTTCTTTGTCCCTGGAGGGGGATCTCAGCTGCATATCAGAGTCCACTAGGTGGACTTGCAGCCTCTGAGAGTGAGGCAGCACAGCACAGTCTCAGGAATCAGACTGCTGGATTCAACATTCACCTCCACCACTTACTCAATAACCTCTGTGTTCCTCAGTTTCCTTATTTGCAAAATGAGAATTATGCTGTTACCCCTTCACAAGTTGTTAAGGATGAGTTCATTTAAGAAAGCATCACTTAGAAGAGTGACTAGCACATAATAAGCATTTAATAAGTATTTACAAAGGAGGTTAGAAATCCAGGCACACCAAAATTATTATGAACGTTTAAGTATAACTGAATATTGTAGAAGGCTGAGTCAAGGAGTCCTATCACACAGTGTGCGGTGTCTTACTCAAATATCTCACTAGATGTGTCTCTTTCCGCAAGTATCTCCTCTAGAATTCTCAAGGCAACAGGTTATTTCCACCTTCCCCCTCCTTCCACCAACTACATCCTGTCCCTTCTGCTTCTCTCTTCATGACAAGCAGAGTAGCTTACTTCTTAGCATTAGATCCGGATACCTCCTGTGGCTTTCATCCGCTCTCTATCTACCCTTCGGGGCACAAATAGTAAATATTTTAGGCTATATGTTCTTTGTTGCAACTACTCAACTTTGCCCATGCAGTGCTAAAGGTTGACAGTTTCTAAATGAATGGGTATGACTATTTCAATTAAACTTTATTGATAAAAACAGGACATGGGCTGTATTTTGCCTGCAGGTCATAGTTTGCTGACCTCTGCTCCATTTCTTTGTGGTTTGAACAAACCCTTCTCAACAAAGTCAGTCTTGACTTATAGAAGAATTCTTATATCAGCCACTAAGAAGATATTTTTTCCATGTCAGTATCCCTATTATTAAATCAAAGTTAAAAATGGTTAATTTTTATTAAATCCAAGACCATCTGATGCTTAAACCAATGCCAAGGTAACTGAGTCACATCATTGGAAGCCTCAATGAGGCGTCTTCATCATCCATGTCTTCAGATTTGGGAATATTAGAGATAGAGGATCCTCAACTTCAAACATTCCTTTTAACAAGAGCAAATTGTGAAATTGGAGAGATTTTATAATTTTGCTTAGGGCACACCGATAGGAAATGATTGATATGGAATTCAAAATGAGGCATCCTAATTCTTAGATGTCTTAGATATCTAAAGACCTCAGATTAATCCAGATTAATAACAACAGCTAATATTTTTCAGTGCTGACTCCATGCCAGTAACTTAGCCTGCATAATTTCCTTTTGTCCACACAATCACCCAATGAAGTTGCTATTATCCTCCAGCTTACTTAGTAGGGAAACTAGTCTTAGCAAAGCCAAGGACCTAGTTAAAGCCAGGTGATTGGTAGAGGAGGAGCTGGGGTCCAGAGAGTCTGATGTCAAGGCTCAACTGGCTGACTGCTGTGCCATGTTGTGTCTGTTATGCTGCTCCTCCTCTGTCTGAAAATATGTCAAAGACCTTTATGCCCAATTCTAGCCAACCTCTTATTGTCCTCATCCCAGAGCACTTTCTGAAGCTTCTTATTGCACAGAGGGGCTGCCCTGAAGTGGCTCCAGCCTGAAGGACTTCCCCTCACCCTGCGGCAGTACTGAAAAATGCAACCCACTGTGGTCACAGACCACCCACCCTGGACCAATTTTTTTTTCAACAGATAGAGTTTGTCTTGAACCTGCCCAAGACTTCCACAGGGAAAATTCAACGAACCAAGCTTCGAGACAAGGAGTGGAAGATGTCCGGGAAAGCCCGTGCGCAGTAATACATCTAGGAGGCATTCATTTGGATTCCCCTCTTCTTTCTCTTTCTTTTCCCTTTGGGCCCTTGGCCTTACTGTGAAGATATGATATTCTTTATGAAAGAACATGAATGTAATTTTTGTCTTGCCTTGATTATTAACACAAAACATTACCATGTTAGATGTTGAAAGAAGAAACGGAAGGAATGAGAGAGAGTGAAAAGGAGAGGGTAACAGAAAAAGAGGAAAGAAAAGTAAGTCAGGGAAATAAATATTAAAGCTGCCAGGGAAAGCAATTGAAAAAGAAATAAAGTATGGAGGAAGGGAGAGAGGAAGCAAGGGAAGGAGGAAGAAAGGAAAGAGAAGATGGAAGGGGGAGAAAAGATAGAAGAAAAATAATTGGAGGGAGAATCAGAAAAATAAAGAGAAGAAAGGAAAGAAATAGAGAGAAAGAAGAAAGCAAAAGAACACAAGAAAGAGAGGGAGAAAGGAAGAGGAAAAAATTAAAAAATAAAAATAGTAAAAGAAACTGATAAAGAAAAGTAATGGAAGACAGGAAGAATGGAAGAGAGGGAAGAAAAGAGGAAAACATAAATACTCCCACAGATAGACAAAGTCAAGCATAAAACTGGAGCTTGAGAAGGAAATGAAAGGCTGTGGCACCTTCTTTTACCCTAGGAGAAGACCTCCATACAGGAAGACTTGTGTGTGGGGTTGGGACATTAGAATCATCCCCAAGTCACCCCAAACCTTGGAACTCTCAGGGTCAGAGGGGAACCACCATTTATTAAGCATTTGGTATATGCCAGGCACTGACCCAGATGCATGATAAATACCACATTGTTTCACCTCTGTATGGCATCTACAGACCTCAGATCATAGCTGTGAGAACAACGTAAGCACTGCCAAAGTTATCAGCTACCCATACCTTGTTTTTGGTGTTATCTACTCTTCCTAGACTCAAATATTAAATAGTTTTAAAACCAAGATCCTGACAGTAGTCTTTGGGAAAAACAAAGAAAGGCAGGGATGAGGTACGTGTATGCTTCCAACAGCTTGTGAGTTGGGGAATCCATGGAGAGAGAATGGAGAGGTGGTTTTATTGAAGGAACAACAAGCACCTCAATTCCTGGGGCTTCTGGGACACCAGATCTATGGTCCAGGAGATCCAGAGAGGTGAGCACTATGAGGACTTCACCTACAACCCAGAGATGGAGGATGAATGCTCCTAGCAAGTTCAAGTAAGTAGGAGAAGAAAGCAAAGGTTATCTGAGAGCCCATGACTCTTCTTAAGAAGACTTGGTAATAATAACAGCAATAGTAATAATAATATTGATCGTTCATCAAGCACTTGCCAAGAGTTAGGCACTATCCCAAGTAAATGCACATATTAATCCTACTTAAGGTTCACAATTACCCTTTGGTTCAGGCACTATTATTTTTTCCATTTTACAAAGGAGGAAATTAAGACTTAGAGAGATTAAATGACAGAGCCAGATTCTAATACAGGCCAAGCTGCATACAACACCTGTGCTTTCAATTTCTATACTCACTCCATCAATTTGCTTGTTTTGGCTTCTGGATCTTGGCAAAGCCGCTCTCTCAATCTGTACTTGTTAGGGTAGACATGCAGTTTATGTAGACATGCAGTTTATACCTGAAATAATTCAAATATTAGGCCTGCTAAATGGTTTAAGGTCATAAACTGCTTCTTTGGCTTTTGAAAACTGTTCAACTTGCCTGCTTTACAGTTTGGTAAGGCCTGGGGACATATGGAGTTAACCACGCCCCTAACTATGCTGGAGAGAGTCAGATCTTATCCACACCTAATACATCATTAAAATAACTTATCAGGTTTTAAACCAAAATTAAAATGGCTGAGAGTTAACTTTGTAATATGTAATTGAGACTACTGAGGATAGATTTACATGCAAAGTGTGTAAGGAGAGTAAAATGTGGTTTTGGTAAAAGATTATAAGAAGGCATGGTAATGTAAATTTCTGCCTAAGTTTAGAGGGTTAAAGAATTCCTTAAAAGTTAAAGGTTTGAACAAATTGTGGAAGGTGTAAAGGGTTATAAAAGGTTTATAAGAATCTCACTTCATGGTCAAACTCAGATTGGATGGATTTGTCTGTAAGGTTACATTACAAAAAATTGAGGTTGACATTAACAGTTGACTAATGCAAGGGTGAAATTTGGCTTTCTCTCACTTGAACAAGATTTTAGTGTAATGAAAGATTTTTGTTTGCCTTGTGAATAAACTTCCAAAAAAAAAGGGAAGGACAAGAGTCAGATGGCTTTGAAAACTTGGTCTTCTCTCTTAATGAGTAAAGATTTTTGTTTTTCAAAATTTAAATTATCTATTTTAGCTAAATGGATGACTTATGGTAACCTGAAATTCTGTTAAGTGTTTTAAGCTTTCAACGTATTTGGTAGGTTTCCCAATATCAAATTTCAGCTTCGAAATTGTCTTTTCTAACCCTTAACTTTTGGATGCTACAGAGGGCCCCTGGAGCATCCAAAAGAGAAGTAAACAGGGTTATTTGACATGTTTAGTTATATAGGATTGTTGAAATAAGGTGGTGTTTAATTTTCAGGTTATATTTTAGTGAAAAATGTTAATACGTATTCTAAAATAGTATGGGATCTCATGGACACTATTGAGAGCAAAGAATCAGAAGAGGCAGGCACAATGACAAAAGGATGAAAGACAGCAATTCAAGAAGAGTTGATTAGCACTGCTGTATTAGTCCAGTTTTATACTTCTATAAAGAAATGCCCAAGACTTGGTAATTTATAAAGAAAAAGAGATTTAATAGACTCACAGTTCCACATGGCTGGGGAGGCCTCACAATCATGGCAGAAGGTAAATGAAGAGCAAAGGTACATCTTACATGGTGGCAGGCAAGAGAGTGTGTGCAGGGGATCTGCCCTTTATAAAACCGTAAGATCTCATGAGGTTTATTTACTATCATGAGAACATCATAGGAAAAATCCACCTCCATGATTCAATTACCTCCAACTGGGTCCCTCTCGTGACACACGGGGATTATGCAAGCTACAATTCAAGATGAGATTTGGGTGGGGACACAGCCAAACCATATCAACTGCCAAGAACAGCCACGAGGAAGAGTCAAAAGGGATCTATTGCACTTGGCAGCAAGAATATTAGATAAGTTATTACCAAAACCCAAACAAAAAATAGTTCAATGGAGTAATTATGGGTAGGAGACTGATAGTTGTGAGCTTATCAGTGAGAAGTGAAAAGAAATAGAAATCGCTAATGTAGTTCACTCTTTTAATAAACATGAAGGGGAAAGAACAAAAGAAAAGATACAGAATTAGAGAAGCAACTTGCAAAAGAGGGAGGAAACTGAAAAATTGCTGCAAACTCATTTTTCTCCTACCCAACAGCCACTCCCCACAACCACCTACCTGTACTACACCTTGTTTCTTGCTAAAAGGACTCTAATTTTGGTCAGAATAGCAGGGAGCTCACCACTAGGACATAAATTATGATTGGTCTAAAGCAGTTCTTTTCCAGTTCTTTTCAATTACACCAGAAAGTTTGTTTTGCTATTTCTACACCTTTTCATCCTTTGTGGTAGAGTATATTTGTTATTCAGCAAATATTTAATCTCCATTTACTGCACACCCCACCCCATGGGAAGAAAATCGTTCTCTGTTCCACTGAGGTTGAGCTGGTTTGACAGCTTTTTGGCTACTGGAATGTTTGTGAGCATAACACAAGGGGGCTTTTTAAACATGTGTACATGGTTTGTATTTATTTGTGAGGCATCTGCCATCTTCACGAGAGGAGCATGCCTTGGAGAGTCAGAAGTCTCCCAAAGAAAGCCTTCTAGAAAAGACTTAAACCTGACCCTTAGCCTAAAGCAGAGCCTCCCCAGACAACCTGCAGATCCGTGAGAGAAAAAATAAGTTGGCCACTGAGATTTGAGAGTTGTTTGTTATCCAACAATATGATAGTGATAAGTAACTGATAAAACCTTAGTTTTTTCTTTAACAAAAAGAGAACAAGACTCATCTCAAATCATTGGCAGGCAACTATACCCAAATGAGACATAATAACATTAGCATTTGTGATTTTATTGTATTCACTTTTCATTTTATTTGTTTGTGGCATGTAAAACTTATGTTTTAACTGTAGTAGGAATTCAGAGTATTTTCATTAATGTATTTTTTCTTTGAAAATATTTTTAAGAAAAGCAATGTAAAAAACATTGAGTAAATAAAAAGAGAGGTAACAGTGTATGATTGTAGCAAAAAAAAAAAAAAAAAGTCAATGCAGGTAGGGAATCGATGGCTGAAGTTTGATAAACATTTGAATAGGAGGAGAAGCGAAGGATGGAACCATAAGGAAAACCCAAAGGGCAGGGCAAGTAGTGTCATTTTACCTAAAAGGAAGTAGTCAAGGATCCATGGGAAACGTAGCTTATCTTAGAATTGAAGGCTACGAGTCTGAGTTCTAGTTCTGTTACTGATGGGAAGTGCCTGCCCATACTGAACTTCAGTTACCTCATCCAGTCAGTAAGAATGATCCGGCATCACCACCAAGATGCAGTAGAGATTGCAGCAGACCATGTCTGTGGAAGCACCTATCAGGGTTCAGGTAAACAAGTAGAAAGAAATGAATATTTAAGACGTGCTAGTGTGAAGGATGGGTTGGGGCAAGTGAAGGAAGCTGCCTCTGCAATCTGGGGGCCATGAACAGAAATAACCCCTTGCTTCATTTTATATACCTTTGATCAGTCAATCAAGAGAGGTTGCCTGCCCACAGAAGAGGATGTGAAGGGGAGAAATTAGCAGACATTGGAGGTTGGGCAGGGAGAGGAGGGTAGGCACAGATATGAAGATCCAGCTTTTTGACGGAGTCAAGATTTTGTTCTGGTCATTTTTTTTAATCCAGTCTTGGGTGACCTCCCATCTCCTATGTCCGTACAGGAGCTGGATACTCTAAAAAGAAGAGAGTCCTGGAATAAGAGAAACAGAGATTATGGGACTGTGAGCTGGATGAAGAGCCCATCCAATCAAATGACCCACAATTTATTTGGGTCAGAGGGAGGATTAGACACCCCAGCAAGCTAAGCAGAAGAATTTATGAGAGAACATGATATCTGAAACTTGTAATTCAGAAAGAGGCCTACTAAGTGATAGAACCATCCTCAAAGAACCATCATTGTCTTCTCTTGTCATTTTGTTTACCTTTCATATACCTAATACCAAAGGATGCTCAGAAGCTGTTAAAGAATTTTAGTAAAAACACTCACCCACCACTATCACAGTTCTCCTCCCCAGCAGTAAATAACGCTGGCTATTTGTGAATCTTTCCAGTGATATCTGAGGGAGAATATGGAGGGAGCCAGATGGTGGAGAGCTTAGTTATCGTCTCTCTTCTTACTTATGTGTGCTATGGTTAACACTCTGTTGGAGCTCCCTCTGGCCTCTGCTGCAAGAGAGAACTCGCTAGCTGTCAGGTCCTTTCTTCATCTCTCCAGCAGTCTGAGCAGAACAGGAAAAGCCTCAGGAATGTCTGCCACTATGATTCTGACCTGGGCACATAGATCAGCATTTCAGCTGGTATTACCCTAGAAGCCAGATGCTGTCTTGGTGTCCAGGGGCTCTCTGCCAGGGCATGATCACCTTGGAAAGAGATAGGCCCAGGGACTCTCACCTCTCAATAATTGGCTTTTGTAACAGACTTGGGTTTCCTGAATCACAGTATGGGGTACAGAACAGTCCAGACAGTGAGCTGGTTCTTGGCGACTCCAGGGCCAATCTAGTAATAATGTGATTAAATGGCATGAGGAAAGATCTCAGCTTTAGCAACTTTATTATTTTCTGAAAATGAAATCTTCATCTCAATGCCGTTAGCTACCTTAGTACATAGTGCCTTAACACTGTAGAGTTTCTCGTTTGCAGCGGTCCAGCAGATTTCCAAGTTAACTATTTCCTTCTAAGGATGGT